CAAAAATAAGAAATTGAGGAGCAGGAGCTGAAGCTGAAGCATCAAGCAACGCCAAAAGTTTGTCGCAGATTTTGCGGCAAAGTGAAACAAAATGGCGCCTGTCCTACAGCCCGACACTTTTCATGGGACTGATGTTGCCTCACGGCTGGTTTTGATTGCGCGCCGCCTCCATATTAGTTGTCGCCTCAGCAGCTGTTGTTGCGGTCGACTGTCACGTTGAAACCTTCTGACATAGTTTGGGGCCGCTCTTTGGCGCATTTCAATTTTCTCCCTTTATGTAAATGCTGCTTTGGAGGCGTCAGTAAATTGCACTCAATGCTGCAGCTGCATTTCACTGGAGCACAACATTTTTGCACAACACATAAAATTTCGCTTCTCCCCCATCAAGCAGGGAACGCACTTCATTTGCATCAGCATGGTTATAATTTTTACATATATAGATTCATTTTTATCCATTTCCTTTTGCAAAAAATCGAGTGGCGCATATACAGTCAAATCCACTGTACAAATCGTTAAAACAAAAGCCAATTTGATTTTTACACGCATGGAAGTCATGCCCTATAGCCCATTTCTCTTTTTTGATCAGCCCCATAGTTTAGAAGCCTTTAAGGGACAGTTACAGACTTATATGCATTAATCGGATATTGGTACTACAAGCACCAATATCTGATTTATACAAAAGCAATTTATGAGTTCATTCCTACGATTAAATAACACGTTTTGAATCGTAAAATTCAGCTTAAAAATGTATTATATGTAAATAAATCAGCTATTGGTGCTCATAGTGCCTTCGGCTAAGTGCTTTGTATAAAAATCGCATTAATTTAATCCTGAAAATTAGCTTATAAATTGAATATGATTAAATCAGCTATTGGTGCCTTTGTTTAGGAGCTTTATATCCTTCCTACACGATTTTTATTCAAACCGCCAAAAGCTGATTTAAACATATAACTGGCCAACTGTTCAGTCAATTGACCAAAAGTTATTAATACATTTTCCTACCTCCTTTTTTCTGTAAGTCATTTAATTAACTTATATATCTCTTTATATCTGAAGATGGTATATTTTTGAAATATTATATGAGATTTCACGAAATGTTTTTGCTTATCGACGAAATTTGCCATTAAATAACTAAATACAAGTATTTACTAAAACATACAAAATCAATATGCAACCACTAGCAGGGCTTGCCCGTCTTTGATGGGCTCAGTATTTTTGCCTACAATTATAAGTGTCAAGAATTAAATTGTAAAATTTTAAAAAAAAATAAATAATAATATTGTGGATTTAAATTGTGCAATTTATGAATAATTAAATAAAAATATTGTGACCGCCCTCCTCTGCGATTCTCACACCAAGTACCTAAGTGCTGGCAAATCGAGAATTTAATTTTGAAATTTCTGAAAAATTAAATAATAATATTGTGGATTTAAATTGTGAAATTTCCAAAAAATTAAATAAAAAATTATTTTTATTGTTTGGCCGGCTCGAGGTCAGAGTAAGAAAAACCAATTTATTTAATTTTCTTTTCTTTTTGGAAAAAGAAAAGAAAATTAAATAAATTGGTTTTTCTTACTCTGACCTCGAGCCGGCCAAACAATAAAAATAACTATGAGGAAGGTCACCAAAATACTCAACAGTAAATAAAAAATTGTGAAATTTCTAATAAATAAATCCTAATACTGTGGGCGCCCTCTTTTGAGATTCTCATACCAAGTACCTAAGCGCTAGCAAATCGAGAATTAAATTATGAAATTTCTGAAATATGAAATAATAATAATAAATTTGTGGATTTAAATTGTGAAGATTCTGATAAATTAAAATAAAATAGGTGATTGGTTCCTTATCTCTGAAACCTATTAAAATCAGTGAAAAAACAAGGATTTATGTTTACTTTATAAAATCACATACATAATGTGCATACCGTCCCATATAAGAATGGTTTCTAGCTGTTTGTCAGCTGGGTGTGTTTTTATTTATTTATTTTGTGTTCTTTTGAATCGTGCAAAATGGAATATATAAAATTTGAAATTTTCAAACCGTGTTAAATCAAAACCGTGTAAAAACAGAATTAGGTTTATAGAGATAAGCATTATTTATTTTGTGTTATTTTGAATCGTGATAAATGGAATAAAGTCCTGTAACACATATACAATTTGTACTTTTCAAACCGTGTGAAATCAAAACCGTGTAAAAACAGAATTAGATGTATAGAGATAAACATCCATCCTGCTTTTCCCATTTGAAAACGAAAAGTCATGAGTTGCCGTATTCCTGTTAGCAGCAAACCATACACCTGCGGCGCACTCGCGCGCTATTAAACCACCAACAGCCGCCGCCATTCTGAATTGCTGCCGGAAGCCGTGCATGCAGATTTATGACGCAGAGTTGCCTCGCCACTGAGTAATGTTATACACAAATATGCAAACATATGGGTGTTTGTGTATACATATGTGTAAATGGGTGTGTATGAATTGCATTTGCTGCTGCTGATAGCTTTGTGAGGCGCCAGTCCCTTTTTAAAGTGGTCGGTGATTCGCCAGTTATTGCTTGTTCAAGGCTTCACGATAGTACAACAAAAAGGACACTCTATCATCAGCTTATTTTCATTCAATTTTCGCAGCACTTAAAAAACTGCGAGTTACGCAAACTGTCCGCGAGAGTGTCAAGCAAATGTAAAAATCACAACTCAGCCCTAATCCTCAGCCGGCTGCAGAAGGGCAAATTGGATAGTCCAGCTTATACTATATATCTAAAGTGCTCCAAGCGCTGAAATTAATTTTTCGTTTCGGAAGCTTGCTACACTTGAAATTCAATGCAATTGCGGCACACATAAAAGCACACATACTATGTGTGTGTGTGTGTGTGTATGGGAACAAAATGGCGCGAGACACATGCCGAAAAGTGTACGACAATGGCTGAAACTTGACCTTGACACTACTTCAAATCCAACGCTCGCCTTGTTTGTCTTTCCTGTGCATCATTTCTGCTTTCGCTTGGCTTACGTAAATTCAATTTTGAGTTTGTCGACGAGCTCGCACAACGCGCACGGGCCACACTCCCCCACACTCCCACACGCTTGTCTGCTCTTGTGCTAAAAGCCTTGTGCATGTCTACAGGTATAAAATGCCAGCTCCTCCCACATAAGTATAGATACAAGGCATTTCAGCTTAAGCAAATATCTAAATCGAATATAAAGCTCTCTGGTTACCAATACCCACATGTACCTACAAATTAGTTTTTAAGATAAATATAAAATTATACTATATGTTATGCAATAATATTAACATTGTCGGCGAAACAAATACACGTATTTGGATATCTTACGTTTTCGGTCTATAAAATATTAAGGCAGGTAGTGCCTTTAAACGAATATGGTACAAGACTAACGAATATACCCAATTTGGCACTAACCTTAATTCGACTTTTTATTATTAACATCTGCTTATACTAAAAAGAAAAATTAATATGAACACGTTAAATACGCGTACATACAAATAATTTACAGCATTGCTTTTGCTTCCATTTTGATCAAATTTTCCGAAGTCCATTTGACTAAATGAGCGAATTTTTCGATCTCTACTCAATACCATTGTATAGAAAACATTTTGTGCAAGCGCACATAGGCTAAATTCGCTAAATTGATTTTGTGAAAATCAGAATATCAAGCCAAATCGATTGTGACACATTTGATTGAAACGAAATGTGGAAAATCTGTCGTGTGTACATCTGGTATTCATTCATACATATGTACATACATAAGTGCATGTTATGTGTTCGTACATGTCCACATTATGACAGCTGCTTGCGTTTTGTTCACGTCAATTGAATCTTATTGTGTGGCGTGAATAATGACCCGAAAAATAAATCGCGCGTTAAGTCAAGAGGTTTTGTGGTTCAAAAAATGGGCCGTGAAACAATATCATTTGAGGAACATTTTGTCCGACTATAATTCCCTTTCTTTAAAATTCTACTATGCTGAATTTTACTAAGGATTTCCCAAATACTTGTAATTACTAAAGAGCTTCCTCTATACTGAATAACCTCCAGTTTCTTACCAACTAATTTTTATGATATCAATTTTAAGTCCTTTGAGTTGTAAACAAGTTATTGTAGATTCCATATTATAGATTTAAAGGTGTTTAGTATTTAAGAACTCTCTTATAGCTAAATTGGGAGTGAGTAATTAGAAAAATAAAATCAAACTTTCGTTTCCTTTGTACCGTTAATTAAGCAAAGTTTAGGTACAACGTAATGACACTTGTTCGTACGTCGACACACTACACAACATGAGAATACTTGTATGTGTAACATACAAACATTTGCACACTGTAAGTATAATATGCGCAATCCACACACAACTACAAATTAAATTTGATGAACTACTGAACTTTTGGAAAGGTCAAAATGTTAATGTATTTGAAATGAGCCCATCCGACCGAAGAAGCAGACGGACAAACTTCAAGTTGATGTAAGATACAGCAAACTTTTGTCGCCGCACACAGCACAAAGATATTTATCTCGACATGGCCGCCAGGCCGCAATGTCCAGCAGCAGAGGAGGACATACAAGTATACAGGAGGCAGACATTTGCCATAGGAATGAAAAAATACGTTAAAGTGGTAGACACATGCCACACATCTTAGCGTGGGCGTCGCACTCCCTGGATCGTATAATGTAATTTTCTAAACGTAACTCAAACAGACGAAACAGCGACAGACGTCAGACGTTAGGAAACCCAGTTGTGGCTGTTTGGCTGCTCTGCTGACTTTAAGCAAGAATTGTGGGGGTGAACGTAGGCGGGGAAAGGACCAGTCGTAGGCGCGTACTTTTGGCATGTCCTTGAGCAACAGCAGCGCCCACACACAGCTTAACATTGAGGTATATTGGAAAAAATCATCTTGAACGTTCCTGAGATAAAAGGCACTTTAGCCTCCTATTCAAATGTGCTGCCATACATCAAATTTATGGCGAATAAAATTGAAGGAAAACGGCAGACCTTTATGTATGGTACATTTCATTTTTAAATGTTTTGGGTGCAATTCAACCAAACACTCTTCGATGATTTGGGCAGTTTATTCACACAATATTATTTTCATCATTATCAGTGCAACCTTGGGAATCAATATAAATGTGCTATTTTCCCTGATTTGGATCCAATTGGCAAAGCATTGACTCAGGATCCATGAGACAGTCTACTACAAGAAAAAGTTATTAATTTTAGGATTTTATTTTGTCACACCAACGAAATTACCAGCTGCCACAGCCCATGCGCCAATACTTAAAATTAAACATATAACTGCGAAGACTTTCATGATGCACTCGTCTGAACCGTCTCTTCTAAAATGCTTGAAGTTTTTATTTTTAAAACAATCCAGCGAGATGGGAAAAACACATTTGACCTAATGTTATCAGCGGAAGGCTTATCTATTCATATTTCTGTAGTAGCACATCTATCAATGAGTAATCGAACATTTTTAGCGATCGTAAAATAAATATATATAAAAATATTAAATATTTAACATACTATAACATAAATATAAAACACTATTTTCATTTTCAAATCTTGCGCGCTTTCGCAGCACTCGACTATAATTGTATATCGACAACAGTACGATAATAATGGATATTATCGATTTATTTTGAGTCACAATGTTGCACCCCTAGAAACCATATGTTAGTTTGTTGTTGTGTGGCTAACATTACTGCAATTGGACACCTAAAACCATAAACCATAACCGTCTTGAAAGGAGTATCTGATAAAACTTGTTTACCATGGGGGAAAACAATGAAACTCCATTTGATATGGATAGTTCTAGTTTTGATGCCGACAAATATCTCGAAAGGCTTCTAAAGGTAGAGTCCCCAGCGCCCCTATCAACGTGTAAGCAATTTAATACAAATTTTTTCGCTTGCAGGACTGTTCTCTAAAACAGATCATGGACACAGAAGCGGCTGTTGTTAAGGATACGCAGACACTGCACTCCGACATGCAGACGCTAGTCTACGAGAATTACAACAAATTTATATCGGCCACTGACACAATTCGCAAGATGAAGGATGACTTTAAACAGATGGAGGTGGATGTTAATCTGCTGATGACGAAAATGCAGACAATAACCAGTTTCAGTGAGCAAATAACAGGTACTCTACAAGGCACAAGATCGCAGCTGTGCCGACTGTCTGAGAAGCATTCATTGCTTAAGCGCCTGCAGTTTCTATCAACACTGCCGGCGAAGCTAAAGGCATTAATTGAAGACCAAAACTATGCGCAAGCTGTGCAGGACTATCTGCACGCCCAGAAGGTATTTGCACAGTATGGCCGACAGCCATCCTTCGATGGCATAAAACGTGACTGTGATGCCATAATGGCTGATTTAAAGGAGCGGTTGCGTCGCGACTTTCAAATGGCAGGCAATACGGCGCAATCCCTCACTGAAATAGGCGAATTGTTGCTGCAACTCGATGAAAAGACATCCGATTTGGCCAGCGAGATGCTGACATGCGCCGCTAAGCGACTGCATGAACAGATTATCATGCTGCAGGACCAAACCGAACGAGATATGATTGAGTTTGTGGACATGGGAATCGAAGGCTTTCTCAATGACTTGGCGCTCGTGGTGACATCCTATTTCGACATGTTCGTTGCCAAGCACTACGAACACGAGCGGTAAATTAAAAAATCAAAAATCCTAGATTCATAATACATCCTTGTTTTTTTCCAGCGATGATTTTCAAGAAAACGCCCTGTACGAGTTAAATATCTTCCTCAATCAAAACATTGACAAGTATTTGGTTTTGGTGCAAGATCGTGTAGAATCCGATATTGGCTACGGCGATACGCAAATTATGCTCCGTGCCTTAGATCGTTTGCACAGACGACTGCAGGCCATGCGAAACATTTGCCGCGGCTTAGATGTAAAGCGCAGCACTGTGGATATAATCATTGGAGCTGCTCACCAGTTGTGCGACGCACATGCAAAGAACTTAAAGGACCACTTTGCCGACAGTCTTAGTGCTGTGCGCTTGGCTTTGGTTTCGGCTAAAACTGATGTGAGCACTGGAAGCAGTCTGAACGATCTCATTACCAACTTATACGTGACCATGATGGACAAGATTAAAGAAGTGCTGAACAATCTCTTGGTGTTTTTGCGCACCGACTGGTCCTTCAATATTAAGGCCGAGCACAAGGGCGCTCTGTGCGTGGACGGTATAAGAGAAAATTTACTTATAGGCTTCCTGCGTCACATAGCCAAAGTAATGTGCGGCTTTTCCGATACATCTAGCTTTAGTCCGCCCAATTTATTGCTGGTGCTATCGAAAACCTGCCTTGAGCTAGAGCAGCAGGGCGTGCATGTACTGGTGAGTGCAATTTTTAAATATACACGGTACAATACTTGATTAATATTGCGTTATTGTTTTTCAGATTGCGTTGGTGGATGATCTTTACGAAATCGATTCGGAAAACAGTGCAACGCTCACCCACGAGACCGAGATATGTGCGGAAATGCGGGAGACTGCCCAGTCGCTGCTAGACGCCTATGTACGACTGCAAGGCTCAAACATTTCACAGGTGGGTTGCGTGAAATGAGTTGAAATGTTTCTTAAATTTTTAATTGCTATCTCTTAGATGTTGCGCAAGAGTGTTGAGACTCGAGATTGGCTGAATTGTTTGGAACCACGTTCAGTACGTGCCGTTATGAAACGTGTGGTGGAGGAGTTGGGTAGCATCGAGACAGTCGTCGCCAGTCTGTATGACACCACTGGCAATGCAGGCTTCCGCACCACGGCGAGCAGTGATTCCAGTCGTAAAACTTACTTTAGCAATTTTACCGGAACAAACTCGAAGGCGCAATATCGCTCCAATTGGTCAAATTACACGCCATCACAACTAGAGTCAAGCTACGTGTCTAACATTCACCGCTTGTTTTCGGAACGCGTTGATATATTCACCTCAGTTGAGTTCTCCAAGGTTTCCATTGTAATGGGAATCATTAAAATTGGCCTCAAAGTATGTGGGAGTTTATATCTATTTTCGTTACTAATTCTATAATCTTGCAGACACTTTTGGAGTGTGTTCGCCTGCGAACCTTCAGCAAATACGGATTACAACAAATTCAAGTGGATGCTCACTATCTCCAGATGAACTTGTGGCGCTTTGTCAGCGATGAGAAGTGCGTAAACGTTGAACGAACGAATTATACAAAACTAAAAATTTTTCATTATAGCTTGGTTAACTACCTGCTCGATGAAATACTTGGCTCAGCAGTGCATCGTTGTCTTGAATCAGTACTTATGGAGCCAAATGCTGTAGAAATTATTTGTGAACGTGGTTAGTATTTACACTATTGAAAAATATGACAGACATGCTGAACATTCCCTTTAAATCTCTATTTCAATAATTTTGTACTAAACGCTAGCTTAAGGAGGTTTTGTCGTAACATAAACATAATCTTTAAAAATCAAAATAATGTAGATTAAAGTGTTTTTTGCGGTATGGTTTTTAGGACAGCGTGAACACAATCCCCTCGCCTTTAAGTTCTTCCGGAATGTGTTCGTCTGTGGTCACTAAAATGTTATGTGTTGTGGTGTCCCCACCACCTTCGTCCGTCGTAATGGTGATAATTTGCGAATCAACTAAGTTGCTTATCTGGTCAGGCTCAGGATCAGTAACCGTGGCTCTATTTGCAGTAGCAGATCCATCCGAATTCACCATCCGATTTTCTGTGCGAGCCTTGCGCGCCTCCTCAAACTCCTTAGGGTGACACTTCTTACGATGAGAATGTTTGTTGGCATTGGAGTTGAAGGTTTTTGGACAATGCGGGCTAAAACACAAGAAGCAACATTTTAGCAAACAGGAATATACTTGTATGTATTTCTTAAATTAGGTTCTAGCTCACCACTTATAAAGCACCTCGCCTGTGTGCATAGTCATGTGCTCCTAAAATTGATGACAATAAATAATCGGACTGTAAGTATGGGAACAATCACACTTACCTTCAGGGTTATGGCCTTCTTGAATGCCTTGGAACATACACTGCATTCAAACTTTCGGTCTGCCAGATGCACGTAACGTTGGTGGCTCAGCATTGCGCTACGATTGGGCGACACCTTGCCACAAATATTACAGGTACACTCCTCAGATGAGCCATTATGCCGGCGAATGTGTTTCTTCAGACTATATTTATTTTTGTGCCACGAGCCACAAATATCACACTGTACCTTCGGCTCAGTAACGCCAGCATGCTCAAGCTGGTGTCGTTTGAATGCCGCCCTGCCGCGAATGACCTAAAATCAGAGTTATTTTAAATTCGCAAAAATACTTTTTCATTAAAATAGTACATCGGCACCTGCGCACAAATGTCACACATGGTTCCATAATTCCCGTGCACTATCTTGATGTGTGTGCTTAGTAGGGAAATATTGGGAAAGCTGTAAAAGATCGGGATTAGAATAAATGGGTTAGCTAATAATTTTAAAAATTTTGAAATACTGTACCGTCTGTCACAAATTTCGCAGGGCAGAGTACGTTCCTGGTGTATTATGCGATGCTGATCCAGCAAATATTGTTTTGTATATCGTTTCGGACAGTGCTCGCACTTGAATGTCTTCTCTTCATCCGGCTGGTGCTTAAGCAACTCATGATTACGCAGGCACTGCTTGTCAGCAAATGTCTTACCACAGAGATCACATCTAGAAAAGTGAAAGAAAATCCTTAATACCGGCTAATAGCCAACATGTCTCACATTACCACTCACTTAAATTTGTCCGGATCGATGTGGCGATCGATGTGATCCGTGAGAAATGATCGTTTATAGAACTTTTTATTACAACATGTTGCATAGCCCTTTCGCTTGTGCACCTGCAACATGTGCTTGCACAGCAACAAAAATGTTTCCTGCCCCTCGTGACAAATGTCGCAGCTAAGACGCATGTGTTGCGCTATTTTCATATCGATTTCCAGCATGGACTTCTTGTAGTCGGCATATCTCTTGTTCTTTTGAGATTCCTCGGGTTTCTGTGATCCTTTTCGCGGCCTGCCTCTTCGTTTAACTCTTGCATTTGGATTCTCAGGAGAGGACGATTTATTGGCCGCTTGCTCCATTTTATTTTTGGCTGATGCAGAGGACCGGGTCTGGCGACGCTCCTCTGGTTCTGGTTCAAAGACAGCAACTGAATCATTACTGAAAGCGGGTTCGGCCACATCGTTAAGAAACTTTTCATTACTAAATGATGCTTCGCTAGAGCTGCTATCAGAAATTCTGTTTCCAACAGCTTCGGCAAGAAATTCATCCGCCTCTTGTTCCAGCTGCTCCTGTAAGTGATACTCCTCCTTGACTGAGAAGCGTTCTGTCAACAGACGATGAGCCTTCTCCACCGTGCAGTAAAACTCATTGAAGTCGTTTACTCGGGTCCAGCATTCAACACACACAACAGTCGATATGGGATCATCGTTTTTCGGCTAAATTCAGAAAAATGTACAATTCAAACTATTAAATTGCGAACCGAAGTTTGTTTATGTTTGGCATTACCTCGAACCAAAAATATTTAGCTATCACACTTGCCGCTTTGAGGGACAAGCCAATTCCCTCAAATAACTGCATGGATTCACTCGCGATATTAAGACATAGGCGGCAATTCATTTCAATAGAATCATTTAAATATTATTTCAATCTTAATTAACTACGCTATCTCAATAACAATTTGTGTTGTTATGGGACAATGCTGCTTTTTCATAATGATACCAGTAACTAATTATGCGCCAGTAACTCAAATACATCATGAGAAATGCAAAAACATTTCAAAAATGTTGCACATGACATATTGAAATATTTAAAGAGAAGATTTCAGTTCTTTTACTTGCAATTTCAACACAGTCCTTTTAGAAATTCAAAATAAATAAATAATAACATAATTCTGTACATATGTCGTTTACTGGTGCTGAAATGGTAAAACAGTAGCACAAATAATCGTCCATTATTTATCGATTACTACCCTACCGATTATTACTTAATTTCCTAAAAATGGCCACTCTACCAGATGCCGCTGTAAACATGTGCTGCACGTGTTGCATTTGATTAGATGGATTATTAATATAAATTCTGCATTTAAGGCTGCAGAGCAATTTAAAATAAAGCCAGGAAAAGGAAAGCAATTAGCGCATCAGAAAAATGGCGAACTTATCGGAAAAGTCAAAAATCACGAACACATTTCGGGTGAGTTTGAAAGTCTTAAGGGCCCAACTTAATACAACAACAATTTCGCCCACAGTTTAAATCATTTTCTGATCGTGTCAATGAAATCGATTTGAGGCGTTTGGCGCTCTATCACATTGGTCACAAATACGAGGAGCTTGACGAGGCAGACAACCAGACTTACTTCTATCAAACCTTACAAAAATGGACGGTGTTGAACTTAACAGAAGAATACAACTATTTCAGCAAGCGATGCCGGAAAATAGTCACATTGCCACAGCTGCTACATCAAAAGGACTTTGTTGTCGATCTATTGCTGGAACGTCTGGCCACGGCGACGAATCTCTCCCAGCAACCATTGCTGGAGCTGCTCTATGTTCTCGCACGTGATCTGCGTGAGGAATTTTACCCTTATTTTCAACGCGTGCTCGATCGCCTGATTTGTCTACTAAACACACAGGACGCCGAGCAGCTAGAATGGACGCTCATATGTCTGGCCCATCTGTTTAAAACGCTGAAGCCGTTTCTAAAACGTAACATTGGCGTTGTGTTTAATGCTATTCTTCCGCTGCTGGATGAGCAGCATTACGCCGAACATGTTACCAATTTTGCTGTAGAATGTTTTGCATATATAGCGCGAGATGTACGCGACTTTCCGCGCTTTCTTACCTACGTATTGAAAACGGTGTTGCGCGAACAAGTTGAAAGCGTTCATGGCTGTGGGCGATTGCTCTTTGAAATTCTACGCGGCGTTAACGGTCAATTACACACCTGTGCGGCCGATTTGCTTGCACATGTGCTGGATGTGCTAGTGAATGTAGATGGCAAGCACACGCCCGTACAGGCAACTTTGCTCACGGACATTTTAGAACATAGCTTGGGTTTGTTGCTCAACTTTTTGCTCCCGGATCAGAGCCCCGTACTGTGGCAGCAAATGTGCAAGGCAGTGGCCAAACCAGACATAGATGTGGAGGCCACAGCGCACTTGTTGCACATAATGCAGCCACTGATAACCCATAAGAATGGACGGTATGTGGCGGAACTGGGATTGCTGGTGCCCACAGTTTTGGAACTGATCGAACGACATAGGGCGCACGTGCTGATTTTGCAGAAAGTGAGCCTATTGGTCAGCGGATTATTGCAGGCACGCCATGCTCAGCTAAGCCAACTAGATGCGAATCGTTTGCTACAGAAATTCCTGAATGTGAGCAAGCCTCTTCGTTCGGTGTATGAGGAGTTTGTGCTACAAATGCTGGACTACCAACAATTCGAGCTGCTGTTACTGGACCATGTTATAGCCTATTATGAGCAACATCTGGATAACGTTGGTTTAGAGCTGCTGGCGCGCATAGTGCAGCACAAGCGACCGCTTTATTTGGATAACATCACACTGGGCAGTTGGCAGGCGTATCCCCTGCAACTTAAGCAAGCAAAGACCATTGACTTCGTGTTGCAACAATTGCAGAAAATTGATTTGTCCAATGAGGATCACCTTCTGCTGCTAATGGTTGTACCCCACATGCGTGGTTTCGATAAAGGTCCACTGGAGAGCAGCTTGCAAACGGCAGTGGAGGCGCAAATAGCTGCCACGAGCATAGACTTTAAGCTATTGCTTTTACTGCTACAAACACACGCAGTACTAAAATTCAAACTGCCCAAAGAATTTCGGTATAAGTTGCAGCAATCGCTTCTCCCTTCTTTGAAGAATAACATTCAAGCATTAGCTTGCTTACAGCTGTTGCTAATAGAAACGTCGAAACAGGAGCGAATGAATCAGTCCACTGACATAACGACTGCTGTCGCCATGCTGCTGGGTAAACCCCAAGCCGAGTTTCGACGCATAGCCGCACACTGCCTAGAATTGATGGGACGTAAACTTAATCCATATTCGTACTTCTATGCGGCATGCTGTATCACGCCCACTGTACAGAATTATCGTGACCTTCTGCTACAATTACAGCATTTGGAACCGACATCCGCCCAGTTCAAGCAGTACTCAGAGTTGCCAAATTACAAGGAACACGTAGTTAGCCTCCTTCTTGGATTGCTATATAATAATTTTAAATTTGTGTGGGAGCCGGTCCAACAGCTTCTGTCGGCTTATACTAAGGTAATGACAACGGATGAATTCTGGACATTATACAAATCCAAACTACTCGAAGCAGTGGAAAGTATTCATTATGGAACAGCAAAGAAAGCACAGGAAGAACAGCTAGAGAAGGTCTATAAATCGCAGGCTCTGAATTCTCTTCTGCCTGTGGAGGAGGCACATCAGCCTTTGAAACAGCAAGAGTTATTAAACTATCGCCAACTTCTGTGGCAATGTATACCCAAATTAGGCAGTCTGGCGGAGTTAAAGAACGCAGATCTCGTGCGTTTGTTCCTGCAATTTGTCGAGCAAGAATATCGCCCACAGTTGGAGCGCACCGAGCACACTTGGAACGTCAATGAATGTGAGTGGAAAAATAATAATTACAAACTTTTTCTAACCCTCTCTCTCTTGCCTTACAGCTGAAGATGTTGACGTCGACGATGAGGATGATCAGGCACAGGAAGCAGTAGAAGGCGATCAACAGCAGGAGCAAAGCTCTAAAAGCAACGCGGCAATACGACGCAAACGAAAAGCTCAAAATGCCTACATCAAATTTGTGTTGCAGACATTACAACTAAAGTTAATGTGCTTTGTCAAACAGCCCAATCCCAAGGCGTTGCATCGTCAAACCGAGATGCATGAGTTTTATCTGGAGCTGCTGGCCAGTCCCAATGCCCAGCTGCAGAAGCTGGCATTAGATTGTCTAGTTGCTTATAAACAGCCATCAGCGATAGTGCAATACAAGGAACAACTTGGATCTCTTATAGATGAGACCAAATTCAAGGTGACACTAAGCAGCTTTGAATTGGAAAGTGTGGCGGCACAACAACGTGATGAATTAATGCCTTACATGCTACGCGTACTATATGGAAAGATGTTGGCCAAGGGCGTGCAGCGCCAGATGAATGCCCAGCAACGCAAGACGCTTATACTTCGTTTCCTTGGCCAGCTGGAAGAGTCTGAAATTATCTCATTTCTGAAAATGGCTTTCGAACGCTTCACACACTACACGGACCTGCCTGTCGATCAGCTGCTGCCATATGTGCGATCGCAGTACACGCCCACGGCTGTCATTTCCGCTCGCCAACTGCAACGCGTTGTCAATCTTTTGGAGCTTATACGCAAGGAATTCGCGGGACGTTTAAGCGAAAACTTCCATGTCTATGTGCTAAAACTTCTGTTGCTAGTGGCTGGCGTGTGCCAACAAGTGCAAGGAGCTACCGACGCCGGCAAGTTAACAACAGCCTACAAAAATGTGAAGCATGTGGCGTTGCAAACGCTTTTCAACTATTTCTCACAGCTGCTGGACATGGAGCAGCTGTGGACGTCAGAGCGTATGCAGGCCATTTGCGAGGTGTATGTGTGGCCAGGTTTGACACGGTTACCTCAAGATTCTATACACACACCCACGCCATTGCTTAAGCTTCTGCTCCTATGGGGAGGCGAACCACGCTACCAGGTGTGGCTGCAGGAGCGCCCAACACCTGAGACGCCAACCATTATGCACCATCTGATGTCCTTGCTACTTAACGATAAGGCCAAGCCGGCCGTGCGTCGTCCACTGATGCAACTGGTGGAGCAGCTGTTGGAATGCGCCGCCACAGAAGAGTACGGGCCGCAGGCATTGGGCATCTTGCAACCACATATTCCGGACATATTGCAGAGGCTGCAGAGCAATTGGAGCCAGCAACGTGCCGGAAAACAGTCATTGGATAAACGTGAGCTCAACGTTCTAGCACTGCTCACGACGCACGTCCACGAGCCGTCCACCTGTGATCTGCTGCTTCAGCTACTCCTGCCTATTTTCACCAAACAGGCGGCTATTGCAACTACCAACCCCGAAGTGGTTACACAACTTATTACTACACTCGCCAATCTGTTAAAACGTGTCGCATCGCCGCAAAACTACATGCGTCAGCTTGCGCCGCTATTCGAGCTGGTCCACGTGTTACCTGCTCGCAAGCTGCTCTGCGAGGTGCTTGCCGATGTGGCCAAACGCTTTCACAAGGCTGCGAAAATGGATGCCGCAGTTACGCCGCATGCAGAGGCTGTGCGCGAAAACGCAAGGATTATACTGCTGCTAAATGCCTGGGACAAGCGTTGGCTAGAACAGCCCGACTACGATAGAAGATTGCAAGCGCTCAGCGAACTCAAACAGATGGTGGCAACCGATACGAATACATTCGATTTAGAGCTGGGAGTATTGATCATTTACAATTGCTTCTACATGCTGCGGCACGATTCGGACCTAGGCCTGCGCGTTAATATAGGTGAGCTGCTGAAGCTGCTCCTGCCACATCTTATACAGCAGCAAGGAGATAGCAAGGAGCAGTTAAACTTTCTCTTGGATGTGGTGCTCTTTCCGCTGCTACAACGCTGCATACGCGATGAGCGTCACGAAAATGCTCGCAGCGAAGCTATCGGGCTGCTTGGCGAATTGGCACGTCAGTGTGGTACGGCCCACGAGATTTTGCGGGATCTGGCCCCATTGGCTGATAAACAAGATCCTGAGGTGGATTTTTTCGAAAATATGTTACATTTGCAAACACAACGTCATGGACGGGCACTGCAACGTGTCTGCAATATTTCGGGAGGAATCTGGCGAAAGGGTCCACCCTGTGCCCGGACTTTAACGCAGTTCCTGCTACCGCTGACAACACGCTACCTTCTGACCGATAAGCACACGGGAAAGCATACACTTGTCGATGCGGCAATCGAAACAGTTGGCGTGATTTGCGAGCTGCTACCTTGGCAGCACTACCACATTGTGCTCCGGCACTATCTCCAGAAACTGCGACACGCCCAGGAGCACCAGAAACAATGTGTACGCATTGTGGTGCGGGTTCTAGACGCGTTTCACTTTGATCTGACTCAGATACCAACTGAAGCGATTGCTCTTGGTCAGCTTAAACCATCCTTGCCGCAACCAGGAGCAAAGCATGAAAAGGATCCGGAAGGGACAGAAGAGAAAGCCAAAGTGGAACAACCTTCCACTAACGACGATATACCCGCAAAAGAAGAGGAGGCAATAGATGAGGGAAACGATATTGATTTTGAAGCGGAGGGTGAAGAGGCGGTCCATGACGAGCCGCCAATTCAGCAACAACAAAAAATGACACCCAATGCAGCCAGGCGAGTGATGTGCACAATCACCAGCGTCCTCCTCCCCACTCTTAACCATGCCATTACCGAGAAGACGAACTATGACAGCAAACACAAAGTTAATCGTCGACGGCTGAGCCACGAGCGCGAGGAAGAGGAAATACAGCGTGTACCCATTGCCCTGGCCATGGTCAAATTGCTTCAAAAACTGCCCAAGGAGCTGCTGGAAAATTCTTTGCCAGGTGCGTACACAAGGGGAAATCCATGCCCAAAAACATTACAATGAGATTAAAAACGTAGTTGTTAAGGAATGAGAACGTCAAAAGGAACAATTACAGCTGAACTTGGGAGAATCCTTACCCTCTATTATCACCGGGGATTGCCCATTATGGGGCATCAGTCTCGAGGGCTTCTCTTCAATATTACGAGCTGCATATTTCTTTCGCTTAATCATGTAGCGTCCTAGCTTCCATTGCCTAAAACATATTAAAAGAAAATCCACTGCTTTCCAGGTATTTTCATGAAGGTGTGCACTTTCCTGCGGTCACCACTGAAATCCGTGCGGATGCTCACACGCGACATACTAAAAAAGATGATGGTTACACTGGGCGGAAATTATCTATCACAGCTAATTGAACAGTTGCAGTCGCTACTCACACGTGGCTTTCAGGTCCATGTATTGTCGGTGACATTGCACGGCGTGCTCGATGCATTGCGAGATCAATTGGAGCCGGCGCATATAGAAAACTGCCTACAGAATCTGTTAGAGATAGCACTCAACGATATCTTTGGGGATGTAAGTGCCGAAAAGGAAGTGGACAAGATTGTGGCGCACACGCCCGAAGCCAAACCGAGCGCCAAAAGCTTTCTAACGCTACTAATTGTGGCGCGCCACATACGGGATAATTGCCTGTTAGATCTGTTGCTGCCATTCAAGGAGCATTTGGCGCGCACCCATTCCCGCAAGGTGACGCAGAAGATTCAGGATTGCTTTGCCAAAATTGTAGCCGGGCTTGTGGAGAACGTGCACATTGCTCGCGAGAGTCTGCTGATTTTCATTTACGGCACAGTATCGGAGAGCATAACAGATCTGTTGCCGAACACACAGAGGCGTGTTCTCAGTGAAAAGGAGCAGGCGCTAATGAAGCGCGCCCGACCTGACTGTCTAATATTGCCGCCCACGCCAGGCAGGCGGTCCGTAGCTGGCAACAAACAAGTCAAGTCTAATGCTAGAGCTAATGCGCACATACTGATAGAATTCGGTTTGGAACTTTTACATTTTGTGCTCAAGCGCAAGAAGCTAGCAGACCTCGACTATCAGCCATTTCTACAGCCATTGCTACCGCTGCTGCGTGACGCGCTAGGAAGCACTCATGCCAGGACCACGACTTACGCCCTAAAGTGCTACACGGCTTTGTGGTTGGGAGAGTATGATATACCCGTCCTAAATGCAGACACGGAGCAGCTGAAACCAGTGGTGGCGCGCATGTTCCAGATATTGAAAAACTTCTCCACCTTTGGCGCCACACGCCAAGAAGAGAATGCCCAACTAGTGCGGTCCAGCTTCAAGGCAGTGGTCGCTGTGCTCCGCAAATGCAATGGATACAATCCGAGCGAGGAGCAGATCGAACAATTGCTACTTCATATCGAGCAGGAACTGCAGGAGGAATGCAGTAGCCAGACTATGTGCTTCACCCTTCTGCGTGCGTTGGTGGGTCGTAAAGTCGACTCGCGTTCTCTACATGATCTGATGAAGCACTTGGGCAATCTTTCCATTATCTCTCAATCCGAACATGTGCGCGAGGAGTCCCGCGACATTCTCATTTCCTACATTATGGAGTATACATTGCACAAGCGCGTTGAACAGTACGTTAAGTTTATGTCTGTTCAATTGTGCTATTCTCAGCCCTTTGGCCGCCAATCGGCCATCAAGTTCATCCATGCCATCATCAACCGATTTCCACAGAAGGTGCTTTTCAGACAGTCAGAGTTCCTTTATTTGTCCATGGGTACTCGTCTTGTCAATGATGAGGATGCGAGCTGTCGTCGCTCAATTGCCGCCGCTTTAGAGGCGCTTCTCAGTCGCCTCAACAAGGTGGAGCGCCAACCTCTGCTCGACCTGACAATGCTATTTTTTACATCGCCACAATCGCGCCAAAAACCTGGAGTGCGTGAGATGGCGGCCGCACTCCTGTCCCGCTTTGTGCAGGCGGAACGCACAGGATTTGCCGAACGACTGCCAGATGTTCTACCCACGCTGGTAGGCGTGATGACTGTGGGCGACTCTGATGCGGTAGGCAGATTTGTGCGCGCCCCAGGACATGAGCAGCTGGAGTTGGAGGATACGCCTTTGAAACCGAAGCGAAAGCGAAGCAAGGTAAACCAAACTCAAGAGATATAAATACTATAATCTATGATCAGCATTATTAGCGATTATTTTGAACCATAGCAGATTTAAATAACAAACTTAGTTTTAACTAAGTATCACTAATCATATACATATTTGATGGTGAAATCACTTTTACAAAGATAGCTTTTTACCATATTGGAATCAAACGTAATATATATGTTTGAACATTTTAAATAACTGACTGCCCTTAGAATGATGGGTACAATGACGAGTTTTTTTTTTTTTAAGGTTTATACAAGTATGTAAGACTGTGTTGGAGATGTTTTTACAGGTCTTCCATTCTACTCGTTATTATAGTAAATGTGAAATTCAATTTTTTTCATCTAGAAACTATTGAAGCCATGGGATAGTATGCTAGGTGAGGATCTACTGACGGGCGGCCTAGATGTGGATGCGCATGTGGAGCAGCAGCAGCGCAGCGAAGATCATCAGCTCATACAATTGCAGTACTGTTTACTCAAGATCTTTGAGCATTGTGGCGAGGCATTGTTAAAGGAGGAGCAGTTGGCGCATACTGTGGATGAGCTCGCCTATAGCTGTCAGCGGCTATTGGGGCACGAGCATAATTGGGTGCGTTGTAATGCAGCCAAGCTGCTGACGCACATCCTGGCCTACTATGATTATGCCTATGTGGGACAAAGTCTAGTCGGAGTGAAAAAAGAGCAGGAAGAATCCAAAGCTTTAGAGTTTATTTATGCCCGGCCCGCGCAAGACATTAAGTCATTGGTTCTGGATCTGTGCGCACAGGTCAGACCGGGGGACACCGCGCAGGAAATTATTGATGAGCTTGTCAAAATTTTCCTTTACATTGGACATATGCTCAGGGATGTGCCGTTTAGCGTCAAGCAGGAGCCAGATTCTACGCAATTCGAGGATCAACCGGCTGCCGCAAAAATCAATCTAAATTGGTTGGTGCGTAACATACGATTTATGATCAACAAGGAAATGGCCAAGGCACCACATGATACCACCATAGTAAGTACTTAATAAATAAAATGGATTCCTTTACCTGCGACAGTGGTTAATGCAATTCGTTTTATACAGCGCACAGCTCTATTCACTCTCATAGAGGGTCTCATCACTCTTCTGAGCACTGAATCAGTCGCACGTTTAGCTCCAGCCCTACTCCAGACTTTGGTGCGTGAAATGTCCGAGGATGATCATAACATCGATGCAGAGCTGCGACAGAAAGCGTTGCATGTGGGCAGCCGTCTCCGCAAGCGCATTGGCGCCGAAGTCTACGATAAATTGCGCAATGCAGTCCAAACGAAGCTAATGGTGCGTCGTGCCGAGCGTCGCAAGGCTGTGGCCCAGGAGAAGATACAAGACCCGCTACGTGCTGCCAAACGTAAGGCTGGCGCCCAGGAGCGCAAGAAGACTGCGAAACGCTTAAAGACGGCAGTTATGCGCGGTAAAGTAGCAGATACTAAAAATAAGTTCAAGAAACGCAAACGAAAAGCTGAAATGGAAGTGTTTTAATTTGCGAAGCTTGAAAAATGTCTTTTAACGAATTAATGCTTAATTATTTGTTAATTTTTAATGTTTCATAAATAATAATTGTATAATAAATATAAAATATATTAAAAATATGAAAGGTTAAAAGCAAAATAAATATTTAGGGCAATTCATAGTTACTAGAAATCAAGTTGATGTCTATAATTGTATTCCGGCCGGAGATGAAGTCGTTACCTACATAAGCATGTATTCAGATTTTACAAGCACTATTTACATATTAAATTCCATATCCTATACGTTGGTATAGCTGCGTGCGTTCCGATGATTCTTTCTAAAAAAAAATCATTTGATATATGTTTCTGAAAGATTAATCTTAAGGAAGAATTTCAGGTACAGGTTTTCGTCACTTAGGCGCAATAGGGTAATCGAACGGTTTTTGGAGGAAGTGAGATACTTTAGGGTCCAACTTTGTGTTTCGTGGATCAGACCGAATAATGGACTGCTTGTTATTGCCAGTGGCTCCTTCATGGTCCATTAATAGTGTTCTGTTTTCCCCTTAGCTTGAAATAAAAACTAGTCACTACCCGTTGGGTACAAGGTATAAATATATGAAATTTGATGCTTAGAGAATTGGTAATTTATTTTAGATAGTTGAAATTTGTAATTATATAACTACATTTTTGTTGTTGATTTCCGTTCATTAAAATAAGTATTTACATGTAAAATCACAGCAGTCTTTTAAAAATAGATTTCTTTTCTCAATATTCGCTTAAACAATAAGTAGTAATTTGTATCGCCGGCGCTTCATCTAAACACAACGCAATTGTATAGAACGCCCTACGTTTTTCTTTACACACACAATACCATTAGAATTGTGAAGGAATCGAGCTTAGAATTAACTGTATCGAAAAATCAAGGATTTATTTTACGTAACAATACCATAAGATGTATAATGGAATTGAAAGTGTTTAGCTAAGCTTAAAATTAACGGAGCAAATTGCTGCTTACAAACAATCAATTATTTTTATTGCAGAAGAAGATTATAATTAAATGATGTCAATTTCTTTTATCGGATTGCACAAAACTAATATTTAATGCTATCTATGTACATATCTCTATATATATTATCCTTCACATATCTGGAGTAAACGCGAAGCGAATTGCGTTTGCGTGCCTAACTGGTGTTTCGACTAAGGAAAATCTTAGTGAACAATTTTAAAGCGCGTGCATTTTTACAGTAAAACCACAACGCTCCCTAATTCTAACTAGAGAAATACAATGAAACGTGTACTTAACAAAATCGACAACATTTTTGCTACTGGAATGTATTTTGGTGCCGTTTTAAACAAAATGTAAACAGTTGGAACTATGCGCAACCGAGAAAATAGTGAAAAAATACAAATTATTTGTAGATAACCATTAATATTGTTTGTCTTATAAAATTTGCGTTTGTGTTTATAGATTTTTTTACACACACAAACATATGTACATAGGTATACTATGTATATATTAATGGTGCTTTATTACAATTTTTTTAAATCAATGAGCAATATAGATTCAAAAAGATGATATAGTTAGTTAGTGTTCACTGCTTGCTACTTGAATATACAAAGGTACTTGTGCTGGTAATAATAATAAAATTTTGATTAAAATCCCCTATTTTTAATTTAAGAATATAAAATTTGAACAAACTTTTTAAGAAACTCTTCTAAAGAAATACACTATATTTATTAGATATATATATGCATTTATGGTACATAAGCATGCGATTTAATATTGTTGTCGGGCTGTATTTTTATAAACCGATTCTAATGGGGTTTCTTTCATTTGCAGTTACAGTTAGCTACACAATGCATCTACAACTGGGCCAAGGATAATGCAAGTCTTTCACACATACATACATACTTTCATACACAAACTTTTGTTTGCACGCATACACACATAACGGCTTTAATCACAGCTACGAAAGTTTTAGGCAAGTCATAATTTTTGTAGTAGAAACACAGACACACACGCAACTCCTCCTTAACCAGCCACCTGCTGCATAGTTATGGTGCTGATAAGTTGCTGACATATCTTTCCATATTCGAACTGATCGCCCGAGATGCGACGCAATTTGATGCCTTTGGCCGAACCGTGGTGATCGCGACTGCGTCCCTCGCACACCTGCAGCTCGATCTGCAGACCGCCTGAGTATTCCAGACTAAGATTTGTCGTTGGCAGATCAACAGCTCCCCCCTCTGCCGACTCGTTGACGGTAGTCGCTGACTTGGTGCAGGACGAGGTGCTGCAGTGGCGGGATTCAACACCACTGTCCTCCGACGAGATGCTGCCCTTGTGTAGCACAGAACCCTTGGGTGGCATGGTGGAGTCGATGGTTTGTTTGACCATTTCAAGAATGCGCGTTGAGTCTAAGTTGGAACATTCGTGTGGCAGCGGAACTTCATAGCACATCTCGTCGGACATGCGTCGGGAATCGCACATAGAATCAGGGGTCAGATGGCCACACTCTGTATGGTCACCCATTTCAGAATGTGAGTCTGATTTAAAGCCAGAGCTGGCCGACGGTTCCTGGCAGGGCGACAAGTTGTTCGAGTCGTTGCTCAAGGAGTCGTCGGAGAAGCCAAGTGACTTGTCACTGCCACGCCTATGCGCCTCCGTGCTCGAGTTGGCCGCGGCCACAGTTGTCGCCGCATTGGCATTTACGTGCACGGATGGCGCCCCATGCGGAGGATTATGCTCGTTATCCAGGCTAGCCTTGCGTCCGATTCCTCGCGTTATCGATGGCATGTCGCTGCTCGGCTCCGTGATAATCAAACCCTGCGCGAGAGAAATGTTAAACAGGTGGTTTTGGGATTATGCTTGGATAGGTACCTGCAGCGACATTATGGGCGTGTGTGGCTCCAGCGAGTCCTCACTATCGCGACTGGTGTCTGAAGAGAGCGCCACCAGCGTTATTTCGCTTCCTTGCACATCGGTCAGACAAATCTGTGGCGTTATGCCGGCCGTACAGCCCGCATAGGGCGTGCCGGTGGTAATGGTGTGGCACGTTTGTCCATTTCCATTCTCCTCCTGAATAATACACAGATTAGGAGAAGCGGGCGGGGTGGTTACAACGCGCACAGGCTGCGCTGGCGACAGATTTAGCGGCTTTGGATCGTATTGCGAGGCCGTTGGCAAGAACCAGTTGGGTGCGGCATAGTCCGATGCTTGTTCGCTGCCGCTGCACACTTCCATGGATAAGTCCAATGGTTGGACGCTCTCACTGGCCGCCGACGTGCCACGTGTGATGGAACCACCGCCAGTGCTTAAACCCGATATGCCCTTGGTGATTTGATGCAGTGGCGACGAGCCACCGGCACACGGATTGAAGTTGCAGTGGCTTGTGTCATGCGAAGAATATGGATTTGGCGAGGCGCTGCATCCAAAGCTATTATAGATGGGGGACTGGCAGCCGCTGCTGTTGTTTGCACCAACGCCAGCACCCAGAGTGATGTTGCTAAACTGACCCACCAGGGTGCCGCCCATGGGTAATGGAGCCTGTTGCTGTGGCGACTGCAACGTTGGAACAGTAGGTTGCTGATACTGATAGCCACATATGGGTTGGCCGAACATTTGCTTAGCCGTCGTCAGCGACGCATTGAAAGGCCCGCCGGGCGCGCCATTCCCCGTTTGGGGCATCATTAATGGTGCCACATTATTGTAGCTGCTATGCACCGGCTGGTGGTGCTGGAGATCCAGGTGCCCACCACCGCCGCCGCCGCACACAATTGCACTGGAGGCGTGCGCTGTCAGTCCCAGCGGAGGGGCCAGTTCAATGGGCACCTGATTGGTCGAGATAATTTTGTTGGCTACGACAAAGCTGATGCGTTGCTCCTGCACCAGACGTTCCAGGGCGGGGATCAAATTCTTGATTGCCTCCGGCGGTACCTCAATATCCGGCCCGCGCCGCAAAGGCATTTGTAAGCCTGTGGGCTTGCCATGGATGGGTGAACCTATACAACATAAAAGGGATTATAAAATTGTTGTCGCTTGGGTGGGACGTCATCTGTTATGTGCAGGTTGGGAACTTTCTTGCGGGATTTCTTAGTTTTTTTTGCTTACCGGGCAAACTGGCCGAATTTTCTAAAAGCGGCGGACTAGGTGCAACCAAAAAATTTCTCTGAGCGATACCTTTCTGCAGGGACTGGCACTCCTGCAACGGTCCTTGAAACTGGCACTTGGAGCCCTCGGAGGCACGACGCACGGGACTGTAACGTCCTACGGTCGCTGAATGGCATTGGCAGGTGCGAGCACGGGTGACAAGAGAGATGGAGAAACAAATTAGTGCGAGTGCATGGGAATTGTAATAGATGGCAACAAACGTGTATGCAGCTTTGTGTGGCGACAATTTTAGAGGGCACTCAACCAAACAAACACAAATACTCAACAAAAATGTTAAATGGAACCGAAACGAAAATATAATGCAAATTATATAAAACTTACCACCTTCCTGCACAGTGGGCAGCTTACTGTGGGCCACACGATAATTATAAGCGCGCCTGTTGTTGGCCGCAGATGCAGGCGACACAAGCGGCACTGAGGCCACCGATTGGTGCTGCAGCAATGACCCGTGACTACTACTTGCGCCGCCAGCACCACCACCGCACCCACCAGCTGCACCCAGCAGAGATTGGGGCGGGGATTGGCTCAGCGACTTCAGCGTGGGTGGCAGGTAATTGCGATTCATGCGAGATTCGACTTCCCGTATAAGCTCGGGACAAATTACTAATTTAGCGTTACGGGATTGGATCAAGCGCGCAAAGCAGAGAGTTGTTGTTTATGTTGTGGTTGTGGTGCGGCGGCAACGTTTTTTACGTTTAACAGTTCAACAACATTTAAGGCAAAAACCAAACATTTACATCAACCATAAAACGGAAAAGGAAAAAATTAAATAAACAAAAGCACTGAATTAAATGAATATAATTACAAATAAGTTTAAAATAATATTGAAATGATGACCAACCAACTTATAAATGCTATGCTGCCCTTATTACACCTAATAGTCTATACTTGTATACTCGTTATTCTGGTTAGATTTAAGGAATTCGGGTTTCCTTCATGAATTTTTGTTAAAAATGTAAGTAGCAGCACTGAATAATAAACAGGCTACCTTAATTGTTTTAGCTACAATAAATAATTATTTCGGAAAATTACTCAGTGAAAATCGGATATTACATTTTTATTTTACTTCTGAAAATAGGATTAAATTTGGAAGCGAAAACATGCCTGAATACATTTTCCTAACTATGTTAAATATTCATATGTTTAGCATCGTCCTGTTGCCGATTGCTCTCAAAAAATTTGGGAATTTATCAAAATTCCGTAAATTTGTTTACTTAAGTCTATCTGAACACATCCTTTTTGTATAAATCGTGTAAATGTTAGTTTTTTCTTTATATTTTCTGAAGCTTTCAATAAGCGCTGACGCATTAGTAATCAATGCATGCAGCAATTGCCTGAGTATGGAAGTTATGCTATATAAAGGAATCAAAACTGTACCTGGCGGTCTCTCTGTGACGGTGGGCAGTCCTGTGCGTCTGGTGCGCATATTACCACCACCGGAAGTCGCTTGCCCTTGTCCTTGGGTTCCCGGAGAAACCTGCAAGTGGATCATTTCTGCGGGACTGTGGCTAACTGCAAGATCGTCGGTGCAGCCAACGGTGTGGCGTTTGACGCAGCCGCGCTTTTGCATGTAGCTGCAGAATAAAATAATTTAATTTAAATAATTATAACAAAGAGAGAGGGTGGGACTAAATACATTTGTATCTCCTCGCTGCATTCCTCGCCATTCTTTTCCCCAGTTGAGCACTGCATGGGACTTAGGGGCTGGCCCTGCTCGTTCAGCGGCGGCAGATCCTTAGGCACTCCTGTGGCAGCGTTCAAATTTGGATTTATGTAGTAGTTGGAGGTGTCCATTTGTTGTGCAGGTGCAGCTGGCATATTACTTATTGATGTGGGATAGTAAATATGCAGGTTTGCACCACCATCCGAGGCACGTCGTCCAAATGAACCTGAACGAGAATCCATGAGATTACAGTTAAGTGGCTGGCTTCCTATTGAAGTTGGTACGGAAATACTTACTGGCACCCATGACCACGGGCGGTTTGAGCAAATGCTGATCCTTTATGGTGAGATTTTGCAGAGGCTGATTCTGCAACATCGGCAGATTTATTGGATAGTATGGCGTAGGGGGCTCATTGCATTGCGGAGCACACTTGAAGTCTATGGGAGGTACACCGTGGGGATTGGCTAGTGCCTGTTCGTGTGCCACATCTCCCGGCCCCACCGTGTGTCGTCGTGTATTTGTGCCGTTGATGCCACCTGCGTTGGCGTTCAACTGCTGTGGATTGCTGCTGGCAGGCTGCAAAGATGGTGGATGCTTATTGATTCCCTTACCTTACGTGCCAAGCCAACTTACCTCGTTTGTTCGCGCCATGCATTCGAGCTCTAGATCGCCAAACTTTTCTAAATCTACGGCCACGTCAGTCCAGCCAAAGCCCAGCGTTGTACTGGAAGCATTCGCATTGGTAAGTGGACTCAACCGATCGAGAGATTCCTGTTTCACGGGTTCAGAACGATCCACAACGCCCGTTGTAATGCTGGTCTGGCGCGATCTATAATCAAAGATGAAAATTTTAATACAAATGTTATGTAAAATATTTAGCCTAATAAATAGACTACGGACATTAAGAAATATGTTCCTATTTTCCATAAATTATTTGTTTTTCAATTAGAGTGTTACATTTTATTTTTTGTGTGCGCTTACCTGGAATATGCGAGATTGGCATGGTGTTGCAGTCTTTGGCTTTCGCGTCGTTTCTGCTGCAGCTTGTCGTGCAGCAAGTTATATATGGCATATATGTTATCGAAGCGCTGTTCGTGCACTGACTGGGCAATCATGTCGGCGGTTAAACCAGGCAACTGGAGCATGTGTGTCATGACAACAGAGTCCAGTTGTGGCACAGAAGTTGATGTCGCGGACGCCATATCGACACCAGTCTGACCAAAGCCGCTAAAGCTGCTGCTACTGCCGCTCCGCATAATTGGAGTGGCGGTACCGGAATGTGTTGCACTGTACGGCAGGGAGGAGGTGGACGCGGACATGTTGGAGGCGCTGGCGCTGCCAAAAGCCGATGAGGACAATGCCAAGGGCATTGATGTCGTGGTCATCGCTGCCGTCATTGTCTCCCCATAATCCTCCAATTGATCAACCCATTCGCTTAGCCAGCGATGCTTCATGATCTGTTTGAGCGTGTACCGACGATCGGGCTCCACCACGAGCATGTTACGTATAAGATGTTCGCAATCTGCAAACAAGGCATTGTCAATGGAATTATACTTGGGGAACTGGCAGATCACTCACCTTGGGACATAAAGAATGGTATGCGGAACTTTCCCTGCACCACGCGACTTTTCAGCTCCAAAATAGTTTTGCCGTCGAAGGGCAGAGCGCCACAGACAAGCGCATAGAGCACGACACCTAGACTCCAGATGTCTGACTTTGGCCCATCATACTCCAGTCCTTGAAATACTTCTGGTGCGGCATAGGGCGGAGAGCCACACCAAGTGCGCAGCGGAGAACCCTCTTCGTAGTGATTGCTGAAACCGAAGTCAGCCAGCTGCAAGAAAAAATTGTCATTAGTTCGGCTCTTGAAATTGTTTCCAATAAAACGAATTTATGGAAGTTTAACTAACATAGGAGACTACAGAATTGCAGGGGAAGAATATGAAGAAAATGTTTATTCTATTCAAATCGATAAAAGTTGGAACATTTAAAAGAATATCCTTGTTTCAACAACTACCTTACTTTAACATATGTATACATACATACATAAATATGATGTATATTGTATGCCTAACCTGACACTCACTGCACATTGCAAGAAATGGTTAACGTACTTGGCGAGATACTTACTTTGATATTCATGTCCTTATCGAGTAGCACGTTCTCCGCCTTGAGATCGCGATGCACGACACCACGCAGATGACAGTATTGTACGGCCGAAAGGAGTTGAGCGAAAACGCGTGCCGCCTCGGGCTCTTTCATGCGCCCATTGGCCACCAGATGATCGAATATCTCGCCATTGGGCGCATACTCTGTGACCAAGTAGATCATGGACTGCGATTCCATAACTTCGTACAGGCGCGTAATGTGTGCATGGCGCAGCGATTTCAGTATTGAAATCTCTCGAAATGTTTTGCTCAGATATTCCTCGTTTAGGCATGTTTTGTCAATAATCTTGATGGCAACCTGCAATGGAATAATGATGGGAAAGACCGACATTATAATATGATGCACTGAACACTAAACAAATCAAATCCAAAGGGGAAGGGGGCGTAATACACTAATAACTTTTTCCAGGATTAACTTTGGTGAAAATTTAAATAGAGCTAGGGAGCTCTATAAATAACATGTGTTTGGTTTATGTAACTTTCGAACTTTGATATTCCAGAAATTCTGTAGCGGGAAGAAGAAACACATTCCTGTTGCATAGGGATGCGAAGAGTCTAGATACATATCAAGTTCAATTAATGTGGGCTCAGCCGTTCATCCAGACAGACGGTCTCGTCATGAATAAAATGTTTAATATCGGTGTGTTGTTTTTTTTTTTTTTAACCAATAATACAAAGATAATAAAGCTTTCTTATCGATTGGGTATAGGCTAAAAAATACTCTCCGCCGCTCTGTGCTCCTCCTCAATATTTCTTACTACAAAATGTAAATGTAAATTCCTTTTTTAATAATTAATAATGACAAAAGATTCACCTTTTTGCTTTCTAAAATCTCTACGAATTCGAGCTTAAACAACGCGACTAACTTAATAGTTTTTAAAAAAATTTTAGAATTTTAAGTTATTTTTCTGTTGCAAACATTTGAACAGATCTAATACACCTCATTTACGCTTCGGGTGTAGGGTATAACAAGAGCGAGAAATAATCAAGCTCGGTATCGTTTTGTCGTTAAACAAGTACTCACATTTACATACATACATACAAACGTTATTGTACATAGTATGTATGTATGTATGTACATATGTACGACTGTTTGGCGTCAGCTGGTAGGTGGCAAAAATTTCGCCGTCTACAGCAGCAACAACAGCAACACTCTACAGCCATACATGGCGCGCGTGTTGGGGCTATGCATCCACATATATATATATATGTATGTATATTAATTCACATGCATACACACATATGAATGAACATACATATGTATGCATATCAGAGAAGCATGGAGCTATGGATCTGATGGCGGCGGCAACAGAAAAAAAAAAACAAAAACAAAGCATTTTCACATGCTCACCAATTTCGCCGTCGTTGTTGTCGACGATCTGAATGTTTATTTTTCTTGTTGTCAGACGGACAAATAATAATTTAACAAAAAGTAAGATAATTAACAATAAAAAGCGCGCAGCGAGAGCGTTCTCTCCCTATCTTTCTCTCTCACACACACATACACTGAACGAAACACATGCACGCGAGAGCGAGGCGACATCGAGAACAGCAGCACGATCATGATCATCATTATCTTCGTGATTGCCGAGTGAAGTCAATCGTTGGCGATCTTCTTGTCGAGTGGCACCGGTTTTTATTTGTCGTAGTCGATTTTTGTTTTCAACAAATTATTTTTATTTCCCCCTGCAAAAATTGTTTTTGCTCTCAATGCCTTTTTCATGCTGGCAATAACTCATTTTTGTTGCTATTGTTTTATAATTTTAATTGATTTTTATGAGGCCGTCACCATTGGGCGTGTGTCTAAGGGAATTTCGCGAAAATAAATAATCTACATACTCATTCTTTTTTACTTTCTCTCGATTTCAAGCACATGACTTTGCTTTTGTTAAAAAAATGTTATTGTTTTTTATTGGTAATAATACGGGTAAAGTGTTTACGTCGCAACAGAACGACTCTTGTATACTTTGTAACCTTACCTCTCTCTCCCGCTGTTCTTCAACTAAAACTGCGTTGCACGATTCGTTGTTACAAAAACATATCGATATCGACTCGTCTGTTCATAAATACATACATACATACATATGTACATACAAACATATGTACCTGTAACATGCCAAACAAAATAAAAATTCTCTATCTATAGATCAGTTAATTTAATTTAATTTTAAAACCAATTTATATTTTTTCTAATTGGAAAGATCAAGTAATGAATGAATAAATATTTGGTATTGTTAATTTACTATTTAGCTAAAAAACGTATTGTAAACCTTACGACCTTGAGCTCTTTAAACCTAGAAAGAGTGAAGTTAAAGCAAAACTGTTCCAACATTTGACTCCATTCAATCGAAAAGAAAATCAATAGACCCTTGTGAATCTAAGTGAATCTCAATATACATACATATATCTATTAAGCATTATCTACAGTAAACAAAACTTATTGTTATATCACATTATTGGATTGTAATTCTGGTGCTTTAATCGTTTTTGGGGCTACAAAACTCAGTACAAATGATTTTATTATATTAACCGCATCAATTCGATTTAATTTAATCTTAAAGTCATCACTAAAATCCACCTTTCCATAGAACCTGGACCTCTTGCTCCATTTTGTTGTAAGCCTTCTGAAGTGATTGCAGATCGTTTGAATTTTTGACATTCAAGCGATCTAATTGAGCGTTGATACCGATGATGCGTTCGCGTAAAGTATTTGTCGTATATTGGCTGAGGCGTTCTGGTCGGAATACATCGTCCTTGATTGCAGTTATATAGTGCCACATATCGCCCAATTCGTCACGTTTCTCGTTGCGATATGCTTGTAGCTGTTCGTTCAACAAAAATTTCAAATGCTCGATTTCATTTATGAGGCTGGCGATCGTTGTTTCGGAATTTCGAAGGTCAGTTGCGTTCTTGGCCTCTTTCAACTCTCCTCCATTGTTTGGGCTAGTGCTATGGTCTACATCCTCAATAGGGGTGTCATCGTCAAGAAAGTGATTTGGATTTAGCTTAACCTGATTGCATTCAAGATACTTTTGCTGGGACTTGAGTCGTGTCAGTTCACAGAGAATGCTTGTCGCTGTATGTGTCTTTTTCTTAACAGGCTTTAACATTTCCTGTTTCAGTTGCTGTCGTTCAAGCGGCATCGTTTCCTTTTTGTCCTCTAGGCTACTCAACTGATGAACATGTGCCATATGGGCTTCCAAAGCAAGTGAGTGAATGACAATAACTCTTTACACGTATGCGCAACGTATAGTAAGTCCTTGCAACGTGAAGGCAAAAACACTGTTGTTGCTATTTACATGCGGTAATCAAGCGTGTTGCCAGAGCCACGGCCACCCGCCAGTGGTTGTGTGTTAAATCGATAGCTCGATTGTGTGTCCCTGCCAGCGATATGTGCGCCCTTTGTTGCTGTGATTGTAATTGTGATTGCCTGCCTTACAAGTGGTATATTCCATGCCCCAAAGCCTCACTGATTCTGGTGTTGTTGCTGCTGCTGCTGCAATCACATCTATTCATTGCATCTACTGTTGTCCTGCTCTTGGCTCGTTCCTTAGTTTGCTTCTACAATTTACTGCTCCTTTCACCACACAATTGTGCCTGCCTCTGCATTGGGGTCGCCCCAGTTCCCTGTTAACAGAGTAACTGTGCCAAAGGTCAGCAAACTTTATGTGGGTTCAGTACTGCCTCTGCTCTTCTCCCCTTAATATATTCCCATTGCCCAGCTGAATAGTGGAAAAGCGTAAACAATTGCTGCACTTTGAATTCTGTGTGTATGTTTCTAATTAAATGAACATATTACACAGCCTGCTTATCACGTGACAGATGTAGAGATAAATACAAGTAGGTATTGAAGATTTTAATGAACAAAATTTTGTCCACATTACAAACTCGTGATTTGGACAAAAAACGCAGGACGGCTGCAACACAGAAAACCAAGATTTATAGTAAAGATTGTTTTAAATCAGCTCTCATACTTTTCGGAATACTTTATGTATATGCAAAAGTGCAACCGACTGTTCCTGGAAAAAAAAAAAAAAAAAAAAAAAAAAAAAAAAAAAAAAAAAAAAAAAAAAAAAAAAAAAAAAAAAAAAAATTCGCATTATTGCAGTTGGACTGATGTTCATAAAGAATTAGTTGAATTTACAAGCTCTTAAATTCCTAGCCTCTTCCTCACGAACATGACTTAGTTGACAACATTGTGTTGCCAAAATATTAATATTTGTATTTTACAACAATGTAGTATCGTTTGCAAGAAAATAAATTAGCAACACACTCTTAGCTAAAAGATATAAGAATATGTATGTATATGTATGCAAGTTTGTGTACTTATTGTATGGTAGATCCACTTCAAATAAGTAGTCTTATCGCAGAGGCAGGAACAAAATAAATAAAATGGTAACAAACAGTGTCAACAAATACGGCGCGTGCTGGTGCTTTTAACTGATTCTCAGCATAGAGAATCAGCAGCTCTTGCCGCTTCTCCGCCAGACAATACGATACTATAGGAAAGGGCGCACTCAATTTGATTGAAAATACGTGTAGGAAGGGTGTGAAATACACATGAATTGCACGTGATTGTTTTGCAAACTATTTTTTCCCCTTATACTGCATATGTAATTATGCATCATATCATATGGCTTTGGTATATACATATGTATGTACATACATATGTATAGGGACGGTCTAACGGCGTGGGAGGTACTGAGGCTCCGAACACTTGATAACGCCTTCGTTATCACATATACGTGAATGTTGTCGATAAACATTAGTGTGTCTGTCCCAGTAGCGTTAACTTCAGAAGCACACAAAAATACCTCGAACGCAAAACTCGAATTTTGATTCGCAACTCATACATCCAACGATTTCGCACGATGATTATACTTAGTTGCTAGGTTAAATGTTTAAATAAACGTATAACATTTACGGAACATAGCCAAGTTAAAATATAATCGTTGCCATAACAATATTCATAGATCTTTAAAAATATTTGTGAAAATGCAAGTACGTTTATCGATACAACCAAAATGTTTAATTTTTTAGATAGTTTTAACAAAAAAACAAGTAAAAAAGCTAAAGTCGGGTGTCCCGACTTTGAAATACTCTGTACATATGTTTACAATAATTATAGAAAATAAAAAAATTAAGAAAATAAAAAAAAAATTTGATCGATTTTACCTCTCTCGGTATTCGAACTCACGTAAAGGGTGTATAATTGCACATTTACATAGCAATTGCGTCTGTGTGAGTGTATGTATGCCTATGCGCATCTATTCGTGTCTGTGTAAGCATTTTCGCAGTCAACCAAACAGCAACATCAACAACAGCCGCGGGCAGCGCTTGAGCAGCGCTGCATCAGCAAATATATTTATGGCTATAACTTCTTGTTAAATCGGTCTATCATAATGAAATTTGGCATACGGACACATAATAACTAACTGGGGGTATTTCCAAAGTTTTAGTTCGAAATTCCAAGAATTACGGGAGTTACGATTTGCGGGGTAGAGGGGGGAGGGAGGGGAATTCCAAAATATACATTTTCTGCGTATTCACATAAGGCATCTGGGACTAAAATTTGGTGTTCCTAGGTCTTATAGTCTCCGAGATATAGGCGATTATACGAATGGAAAATCGGGAAAACCCCCATAGGGGGGAAGTGGGGGGGAAAATCAAAAAAATAAAACAAACTCGTATAGAATACACACATAACGCATCTTCGTGCAAAATTTGGTGTCTCTATCTCTTATAGTCTCTGAGATCCAGGTGTTCATACGGACGGACAGACGGACAGACAGACAGACAGGGCTAGATCGACTCGTCTCGTCATGCTGATCAAGAATATATATACTTTGTGGGGTCTGCCACGCCTCCTTCTGCCTGTTACATTTTTCAGCTCCCGCAAACCTAATATACTCTTGTACATTTCATGTACAGAGTATAACAATGAGTATTTGGGAGATTGTAATACTGCATATTTATTTGTCTCACTCTTCTGCATTTACAAATTCTGCAATAAAAAATGAAACCATTCAACGCTTAAAAGAAGAAGACAAATACCGTTAGTTCACAATTCATTTCAACCACCAGCTGCAGATTCTTTCTGTAGAAACATAATCTCAGCTTAACTTAATTTTAAATGGAAATTGATTTAAGTTTTCTGTTTTTGGTCTAATTCTCAAATTAGTGACAAATCGCGCCTAATAAAATATTTACGTATATTAAAAACGATGATAGTTTTCAAGAGTGGCTCATTAGAATTTAAAGTTTAATCAAAATCGGTACACTATATCAAATATACTTGTATGCTATAAAAGTAATTGCTTAAACTGAGTTTATTAACTGTTTTTAAAACGAATTGAATCGAAATTTATCCAATTTATATAAAAAGAATAATCCTCAATGACCAGTAGAAAAATGTCAGAAAATTCTTAAATCATTGTTTCTTTTTTAAATAACTTCACATATTCTTTTTTACTATAATCCGTTAATATATTTGCTTGTCTATCCGAAACATATAAAGGATTATAATAAATCCCATGCTGGATTATAGATTGACAAAAATAAGCGCTGGTATTGATTGATGTGGAATAATCAATTGAATACACGGCAATCGCAATCAAAAATTTCAATTTTTCGCACGAAACTACCATATTGCTGATAAGTGTATATGTATTTATGTATTTCACACATAGACGACACATTTATCGAATAGATTTGGTTGCTGTTACTGTTCGTTATTTTCTGTTGAGCCAAATAACGAAACCAAATTTGTATCATGTAGAGAAAAAGGTTGTTTACATTTTATATGGAATTTTTCGTTTCGATAACATTCATGCTCTGGTAAATACTGGACTTAACATGTAAAAAATTAGTACATAATAACGCCCATAAAGACACGTGCAGCAATCGGGAATACAGAATAAGATAAGAGTGGACCTTGAAATTGACAAACAGCTGGGTCGTTATCAAAAGAAATTCAATTAATTAACACAATGCAGAAACAGGCACGATCAAGAGTGCCGGAACCGGAGTAGTCATAAACTTCTGAAAAACGCTTAAGACTCATCTTTATATACGAACTTTCATACAAAGATGTATACATATACATACGAGTATGTACATATGTGTTCTTACATACATACATACATACATATGTCAATAAAGCGAACTGGGCGGAAGAACAAAATTTCGTCTTTGTTATTCGAATAATTTCGAATAAAATACGTATACATACATATGTATGTATGTATGTAGTTGAGTGGGAATCGCGAGGCACAATCAAGGCATCCAGAGTCGAATCTTGTTTTCCGACAATTGTGAGCATACGACTGCGTGAAATGTTTTCGAGTGTTTGTCGGACTGTTAAACGTGAATTCTCTTCTGAATGCGATAAACTTTTCATTTCAATTTTTGCAGAGTAGGGTACTACTTAGAATGCGATAATTTGGTAGACGCGCTCGAACAGCAGAAACTATCGCACAGCTGTTTGCCCGTAAGCTTCTGCTATGCCTGCCGTCCCCAGTTGAAGGTGACTCATTATCTCTGCAGCGAGTGTTTAAAGAGCAAAATGCTATTTAATGCATTTTAAATACTTGTATCAAGTGCTCATATAAGCACACAACAGCGTCGCTGGCCAAAGCTGATAGCAGACACCAGAGACGTGAAAAGGTGAATAATAAAATATCTGAAAAATGATCATCCGTTGCAACAAAACTTTACAACTAAGCTGTCATCAATAACCGCTAATGAATTTCCACAATACTGACTTAATTGCCTCTGGCTGCTCGAAGCGACAAACTTAAATGACATACTACAGGTAACATTCGACAGAAGCTTTAGTTTTATAAGTCTGAATCTAAGAACTTTTTTCAGCTGAACTAAAATATTAAAAAATGTCGGTGAGAAGCTATATCTTTAAAGTTTAACGAAATCGCGAAAATGTTGATCTTTTTGTAGCTTTTCTAAGTTTGCTTTATTGCAAGGTGTTGGGCTATTTTTTATTATATACGAAACAAGAAAGGAATGCTGAAGTCGAGCAGGCTCAACTCTTAATTACCCTCTACCACCCCACAAAAAAGAAATTAAATTAATTAATTAATTAATTCCATACATGCATACATACATTTACATCAGAATCGTGCCTATGCGTGTTTGTGTACTTGTACATATGTATGTATGTGTGTATTGGGCCTGGTTATATGGCTATAACTTTCTTTCCGATCATTCTATCATAATGAAACTTGGTATACGGATATATAATCACTAACCTAATGTGACTACCAAATTTTAGTTCAAAATTCTTAGAATTACGGGAGTTATAGAAAATCGTTAATAGAGGGGGAGTGGGGGGTGGATCAGAAAAAATGAACAAACTCGTCCTTTCTCGGGCTCAGGAGAATCTGTATACCAAGTTTGGTTATTCTAGCTCTTATACTTTCTGAGATCCTTGCGTTCATACAGACAGACAGACAGACAGACGGACAGACGGACATGGCTATAGCGACTCGGCTTGTCATGCTGATCAAGAATATATATACTTTGTGGGGTCTACCAAGCCTCCTTTTGTGTGTTCCATGTGCACTCGTACAGGGTACAGGGTATAAAAACGGCTATAATTAATAAAATAATGAGACATTCTCAAGCATTTGAATTAGCTAGAAGAGAACAGTCTTTCCATTATTATTAAATTAGTTAAGATATTAAGGATTAACAACAACCGTCTTTATTTGTAATTTAGTTTTAAAATCTTTATAATTTATTATTTGTTTTTTTTTCTAAAGATTTTGATTTTAATTACCTCATTATGCAGTCAAATTAAAGGTTTTAAAAGTTCCAAATGAACATCAGCAAGTTAATTTAAGGAAAACAAATGCAAATGTTTTGTTTTAGCAATAACAAAAACAGTGTGTTAATTGATATTGTCAATTATTATATGAAAGAATGCATTTCTTCCGTATTCATTTATTTCACAACACACATACATATGTATGTATCTGCATAAGTGTACAGTGTACACATGTAAGGTAGTTATGTGTAAGCAAATGTAAAGAAATTTACGTTTTTAAGATCAGACATTTTAAAGCAATTATCGTGTGACGACGATAACGATGACGACAGCGCAAGCAACTGTGTTCTGGGCCTGCTCTGTGCTTCTCTGATGCCAATTGAAAGTAAACAACCAAACAACTCCACATGAGTGGCAAATTTGTATTGTCAACAATTTGTGTAAATATTTGGTTTAAAAAACATATAAGCAAAAAATAATGCGAGCAATTTTTATGAGCAAATGAATATTTTTTTTTTTTCGTGAGGCCAGACTTGTCTATTCTGAACTACTTGATATAATAATATGATAAAAGAAATAAAGTTCATACGTATTTTGCTATTTACGTGCACAAAGTGAATTCTTTCCCTTCGTCATCTTACGATATACTACAAACATACATATGTAAAAACGGGTCTCTTCCCGTTTCACATTTGTATTAAAATAAATAATATTTAATTGGTTTCCTTCTCGGTTTCAAAACTTGTACCTAAGAGATAGTGTTTGAAATCTTATTACTGCTGCCTTTTAAGTATTACTTAATTTCATCTTTAAATGTCTAGTAAACATGTTTGCATAGAGTATAAAACCGTGTTGCTTTACAGTATATAAACAGATTAGAGGATCAACGGGCCTAATCTACTTCAACTCAATATATTCTACATATATCAATTCCTCAAGGATTTTGGCATTCTACTTGAGTTTTACCCACACGTTAGGCAATGCAAACTCTTTTCTGGTTATTAACATATCCATACCAATAGAGATATTAATATTTTGTAAACAAATAAATCTAATTGACAGATTTTTCTCAAAAATTGATATCATATAAAACTAAAAATAGCAAAAAACATCTAAAAAAGTGTTACAAACAAATTAACAAAGTGAAAACCATGAACAATATTGCTCGGCTTTAGGTACGAGAATCTTTACTACACGTTCTTCATCTAAAAATACTCTAAATGCTTACCTTAGTTTTGGTTACAATGTTCGTGGCCAATTTGACAACCGCGAAATTTCCCTTGCCAATGGTCTTTTCCAGCTCATAGTAACCAACGCGCAGCAGCTTATCGACGGAAATTTTACTCGTGGAGGGCACTTTGTAGTTTTGTGGCGTTGACGGGGCGGCCATCTCTGACTGTCTTTGCTTCTGTTCTCTAATCGACCTGACGTCACGCTGTCTTTTTAGGTGCCCTAGTCGCTACGAGACGTAGGAAGTAGGCGTTGATTTCGTTGATGTCGATTAATTCAGCAGGAAATTCACGTAAAATGCATTTTCTTTCGTTGCTGGCTGCTACTGTTGTTATGGAGGTGGTCGGTGGAGGGTCGTAACAGACCTGCTGGCGACGCGTCCAGAGCAATAACGCACACACACACATAAACGCATAGAATACTATAAAGAATCTCGCACAATCGTGGACAACAACAGCGCCGCCAGCAACTTTAATATTATTTAATTAACACAAGCAACGAGTGAAGATGTGTTAAAGAGGCGACGGCAACTGTACGCCGACGTGTTCCGTTTATATTGAAAAATTGCAATTATGTGCTTCTGTCTGATGGCAAGCATAAAAATCTGCGGCGACAGACGATGATGTCAACATACATTTGTGCGTTACTTCACTGAGGGGGCTGTGGGGGCCTCTTGTTACTGCTGCAACAGCTGCTACGGCAACCTTTCATCCAATGGCCAATGGACTTGGCCATATTCGCGTGGTAACACTTTTCAAGTGACCCGCTTACAACTCCAAGCCACACACTCCCAATCGCCTTCAACAGATTTTGCAGTTTGTCGATATTCTTAAGCCATCTGCTTCCTTTGTGAACTTTTTATAATTGACAATTCATTTATTTAAATTACACTTTTCTGCGATTTATTTGACAAGCTAAAATCGTTTCACTTTAATATCCCGCGCAATTTATAGAAAGAAAGAAAATTAGAAAAAATTCGATGGTATTTGACCTTTAGAGCATTCACATATGTATATTCGCGTTGCTGTTTTTATCAGTCTGACATATAATATACACAAACAAGCATATATATATATATATACATATGTACATACATATACCTATCTACCTATGTATATATATGTATATATAGCAAAACAAAATACATGTATGTATGTATACAGATAGCCAGAAGAGCAACATAATGGTGTCCGCAGTGAGTAGATTTGGCAGATTCTGTTTTCTTATCTTCAAAGAAAACAATGACGCTTTCTATGCGCGAGTAAACAACATCTTTTTACGTGTTCCATTAAGGAGTTTAAATTTTATTTTAATAAGACTATTTACTAAACGCTGGTTAACTGCATCACTGTTTGTAATTTTAAAACAGTGATGCAGTTAACCTTTTATTTATTTTTTTTTTTTTGATATTTTTTCACTATATGTAGTTAATGTTTTAGCAAGAACACATTGCACTTATTTAAGTTTAAGTGCAAGATATTGTAAAGGTGTAATATGAACGAAGCCAATTTTTCAATAAGCCCAGTGTTTACTGGTCCGAGATCATATGTACATATGTATGTACATACATTCATATTTAATGGGTTAATGTACAGCACCAAGGTCGTGCAGCCATCTCCGCAGCAAGCAGAAAACACTTCCAATCGCACGCACACACACACACAATTCAAGTCCCCAAACGAATTGTGATCTAATTCAATGAAGCGTTAACCGAGCGCCAAAGACAAGCCACTTAAAAAGTAATATGTATGTACATACATATGTATGTTAATACGTGTGTATGTTAGTATGTATGTATGTATCTATCAGAGGCATACATTTGTGTGTTTAAATTGTAGTTCAAAATGCAAATTATTAGTAACGCCAATTTAAACGCACATGTGCGTACATACACAAATATATACGTGCATACATATGGACATACGTTCATACATACATATGTATGTACATATAAACATTTAACTTTTTTGGTGCGAAAAGATTAACCACAGCTGGACAATACGATCTGAACGTGTGTAATGGGTTTTCATCTTTAATTTTTCCCATTTTCTTTATTTACGATGTTTCTATTATTTCTACACACACACGAAACCACCGTCAGCCATACGCACATACATACATGCATATGTATATACACACGCGCTTCTAAACGACCCTAGGAATCAACATTCAATTAAACGAAGTAGCGGCATGTAACGGTAAGTTGGACTTGGAAAAACACGAAAATCAGAGCTGAATGAACTTCCAGTGGAAAAACATTGTGAAGCTGGAGCCGAGTACATATGATTTTACAGTTCTTTGAATATGAATGTATGAATGTAGTGGAATAGGATGAGGCACACAAACAACCACAATGTTAGACTACATGCGCACACGTCAGAGAAAGAGAGAGTGAGAGCGGGGGCGTGAGAGCGATGCGGTGTTTAGCCCCAGCTGTAAAGACGTCATCAGCATAAGAAGGCACGCTTATAATGCGTTGTCGTCTGCAATAGTCGTCATTCACAATAGCGTCAAGCTCGGAACATGGGGTACTATCAAGTGAGGTAGAGGGGGAGACCGCAGATTGAGGATATTGTGGCATACATATGTATGTATGTATGTAGTACATTCGTGCATATGTATGTAAATAGAAGTTGAAAAATATTGAGTTAAGCTTATTAAATATAATTTTTGTTTTTTTTTTAATCGAAGCTAAATTTTTAAGATATGTTTGTATGTATGCATTACATACACGGAGTTTAGAAGTATAGAATGGTATTTTCCATGCTTATTGGGGAGGGAAATGTGCAGTATGTTAATTCTGTTTTTAGTGTAGTGTATCAATGCTTAAATTAATGGGTCCCAATGGCACTTAATAAAGTTTTCCATATGGTCTTTTATTGATTAAAATATGGTGGATTCTCACAAGAAAGGTACGGATTTGCGTAAAGACAGAGAAAATATTACAACTACCTATTTACATTTTTGGAAGTAATTTAGGGACTATTGAAAACGAAGGTATGTATGTACATATTTACATAAGTGTGCATATATTTGAGTTCGACAATATACTTGTGTTCTTACTAGGCGAGTTACAAAAGAAAAACAAAACAACAGCGCACAAAAAGCAACAATTAAGTACGAAATATAAGCCACGATGCGATGAAAATTAAGAAAACAAAAGCTAGGGACGAGGCTTTATACGGCAGCCAGATGACAACGCACCAAAGAGAGAGAAGTACATAAGCAAACGAGCCAGACAGCCAGCCAACCATCGATTGTAAAGGGAATGGCGCGGGGGCGCCGCAACAGATTCAGGGTAGGTAGACAGGCTGGTTTTGCCAGCAAACGAGCACAGCAGATACACACTAGAGATGGACGGTGGCCGGCTTTGTGTTTTTTGAGTAAAACGTCACGAGCACAAACGGCGAACATTTTATTATTATTATTGCTGGAAAATTACACGCATAGCTTTTAGATGGGTCGTAATATAAAAATACTTGATATTTACTTGTAAGTAAAATAAGTCTACGCTAACAGACATTTTTTCTTTTTCCAATATAGTAGTTGTTTTATAGAAAGTTTTCATAAAATAAAACTAAAATAAACTAAGTTTTCATTCATATTTTAATTTCCGCAAATAGAAAATTGCCTTTAGGTCACTTTCTCCACAGGTCAAAAGGTAAGTCGAAGAACTACGAAATTGTACATACCACCTATTAACCATAAAACAAGCTACTTGATTGATTGATTTTATTGAATATTCTAACATGGAGCAAAAACACGCGTACTCACGCAGTGGCACGATAAAAGACACAATCAATGCCCGCCCACCTCTAGTGCACACCAACACATACAGGTGGTGACGGCGTGCCAACAACAAACGTGCATATGTGCACATGCGGAGGTATACATATGTATATGTATAAATATGTATATTTATGACAACAGCACTCTTTGTTGTATGTGTAAGTTAAAAAGCGAGTGGCTCTGGCTGTGGAATTGAGGGCCTTTGAAGGAGTCAAGGAAATTCGCAAAACCGCAGAAAATGCAATATAAAGAATTATGATGACAATTACTATTGTATGCCGAGGGTGAAAACTTGTCGAGGTCGTTAATGTGCATATTTACATTTATACATTTGCATGCATTTATGCACAAACATATACATGTAGATAGTTTCGTATGCACACAATGTTAAAGCACCTACAGTTGATAAATACCAAGAAATATGGGGCAGAGACAGTGAAAATTGTCATATTTCCTAGGGTACGGTCAGACATGCAAACAGTTTGTATATAAAGCTAAGTAAATTTACAAGAAATTTTGAAAAATTCTTCTCAAAGTAGTTTGTTGTAGTAAAAAACTACATAATTTTATTATAATATTATGTATTAAAAGAAAAACATTTAATCCATAAAATCGTGAAATTCAAAAAAAAAATATGTGCAACTTATCAGCCTATCTAACCATAGCCTTATTTGCCTTTTGGTGAAGTTGCTATGACGTTTTTAGCGACATACACACCCATACACACACACACGCACTACAAAACAAAAAAAAAAAAAACACGGATTGTGTGCAACTGGAAAACGTCACGACTTCCCAGTGGAAAAGATATGCATGTCGAGGGGTACGGGCCTGTCTGACAGAAAAACTTGTCGCAGCGAAACATAATTGCCATTCATAAATATGCTTTTGCTTCCGCGTGTCATCAGGCAGACCGATAGTAGAGTTGTAGATTCGAGCACACCAAACAAAAAACTGACATACATACATACATATGTATGTATGTACAAATACTTTCACACATTTATACATTTATATAAACGAATATATATGTGTATGAAGAATATGTAAAATTATTGTTCAACGGGCGGATACATGGTGGGGCGACGTCAACGTCAACGTCGACGTCGACGTTGCTCTAGTCCATCGAATTTTTTCTTTCTTTTAGTCTATTTTGTGCCAAGTCAGCCAAGCAGCTTCCAATAATAACAACAATCACACAGGCCAGACGTGAACGCGGCCGCAAATGCTGGTCAAATACCTAACACACTTATAGATTTATTTAATCTTTGCTTCATTTTATTTGCCTTTTTACACATTACGATTTCTATCTATGTATGTATATTTGTTGCTTCTGTCGCGAGCCAGATTTTTCTGTTCACGTTGAATTATTTTTCTTATCACTTGTGCTCTTCGGCCGCTTTGTTTGCGTTTACACTGCACTTGTAATGACGTTTGCATTTATATATCAACACAAAAGTAAGGTTGCTATTGGAATTTTTTATATATTGCAAAAAATAATTTTAATCGAATTGGATCGCGACGCGGCCCACCCAGTCCAGTTGGACAGCAAAACACAGACTGAGCAGTGCTACCACTAAACTGAGCTGCCATCACCTGTCATCAAAGTTTTATACAAAAATAATGCTGCCAGATCGCTAGTTTCCTGCCTGTGGCACCGCTGTTTTGCGTTTATTATGAGCATTTACCAGCACTCCACTATTTGGACACTAAATCTTATATCTTCCGTTAAATAACAATGAAAAGTTTTAAATATCGTTACATAGTATAATAAAAATGTTTGGCTATATGCAAATAAATGTGCAGATATATATTTTCAAATTTTAATATAAGTAAAAATGTTGTAGGAAAAGACTTTTAGCGTATGTATGTATATAGATTTTACTTAAAAGAAAAATGTTGTTTGAAGTCGAACAATTTTTGTTACTTTCCAGAAATGTCTCGCTCATCCTTATATGTTTACAATATAGTTAAATATTAGCATTGATGGCACTTACCACGTAGGTCTGAAGTTTTCCTAATAAATATTGAATGTATGTACATGGGTGAAGATAGTTTACAATTTTCAATGGACAACCGCTTGATTCGCAAATTTTAAAACGGTCGCTGTAATGGAAGCCGAGACTTCAGTATTGGCGTGATCTTAGTCTTCTCACAGGGCTTTGGCTTCTCTTCTAGTACTACTTTAGTCACATAACGAGCCTCGTACCAGCATGGATTTACGGTCTTCACCCAATAGTTGGGACAATTTTGTTGAAAATTACACAGCAGCTTCGCAATACAGCCGACAATTGCCATTGTTATAATTAATCACACTTAATTTTGATTGTGACTCTATGCATATACAAATGTTGGTATGTTTAAGATAACAACAATAAACAGATCTGTGTATGTATTTAGGTAACTGAAATGCTATAATGTCTCTAATTAATTATATAAAAATAATGATTTGAAATTTAAGTGTGCGCCTTCTGCATTCAAATTTTTTGCCGTTAGGGCTGAGCGGAGGGTGGTCATGAGGTGGTTCTGCCTTTTTAACTCCAAATTTTGTGTGCGTCAATGGGGCCCGGAAGTGCGCTTGTGCTCTCATACTACTGAGAGCGCGCACTGTGCGCGATTCCAATCTGAGCGCAGTCAGAGGAAGCTGTGACGCGTGGAACGAATTTTGGCCAAAGTTCAGAATGCTTATTGGAATGGCCATTCTGACCGGAGACGCGCGTAAAAATGAATGAAACTTCCATTTAGTTACTGAATTGAGCATTTCCGAGCCAGCTAGAGGCAATTGAATGGAGGATGTGCTTAGCTAGCTTTTGCCGGGCACACGTGTGGGCGAGCTGTCATGTATTATTGTGTTTGTATGTACATGAAGAACTTTTAGAAATGTCGTGACGTCAGTCGAAAGTAAAGCTTTTTGAACTCAGCGTACATTGACGGGAAATGGAAATGGAAAAACTCACAAGAACTTTTAATAAATATAATTTACTTCGAGCAATACTTGAATGTATAGTAGTCTTGACATTTTTGTATGACTGCAGCTAAAGGGTTACAAACCCTATGTATCTAGCAGTAAGAGAAGGCGGACCCCATGTTAAGAGTATAATCACCGAGTAATATATGTTTATATTCATTTATATCTCTACTCATTATTGAATATAGCTGCTATAGGACTGACCAGAGGAAACAAAATCAAACTTAATCTTGTTTGTCTTTGTTCACAAAAATATCTTTGCTAATTTTGGTTTTTATACCCTGTACCCGTAGGGTAAAAAGAGTTAAAGTATATACTACATTCTTAATCAGCATGACGAGGGAAATCGATTTAGATATGTGCTTCCGTCAGTCCGTCTGGATGAACGTCTGGATTTCTGAAACAACTGACCACACATTAACAAAGCTTGGTGTGTAGACACCCTACTTCCTAGGCCGTACGAGCTTATTTAATTTTTTTGATTTCCCCCTACAGAATTTCGTCAATACTGTCTACATTTCAAACGCTTCATAAACCAAACTTTGCACGAATATTCTATATTGAAAAATCTACTTTTGTTTTCATCCAAATCAGCCAATCTTCAAACAAGTTATTAGCGAAATAATTTCCCTACAGCATTACGCCCACATTACGCGTTCGCTCCTGTTTAAATATTGTGTTTGAAGAATTTGTTCGGTCGACACAACAACTACCCCGATTTCCCAGTCAATGTTCCGATTTTAACATAATCATGGCACGTCTCGTGCATCCAAATTTCTAAATTTGCGCATGTTTGAATTCAAAACTCAGAAAAAAAGTAAAAAAAATTTTAAGTTAAAAAGCGAAACTCAAACAAACTCAATTCGAGGAAGGGCCTGAATAGAATGGTACGTCGAAAGAGCATGTTAAGCGGACTTGGATTGGCGAACCAGTTGTCTTTGAGTGCCTATCAGTATCAACACTTTCTGACGCATCCCCGCCAACGTACCACCTCCTCGGCCTGGTTTAATGCCACTACGTCGCGAAGCTTCGGCAGCAATGCCCCCCGATCCCCACTGGGCCCACGCACTGCTCAAGTCCACTGTTTACCTTCGATGCCCGAGTATTGGCACAGCATGTGCAACAAGCTGGTGGGTGCAATGCCACGTATGGCTGCGCCCCCAATGCCTGAGACTCCCAGCAAGAAGCTGACCCGCCTCCGACGTCAACTAATGAAGCAGCGCTCTCCCACTGCTACCAGCGGAGCAGACAACCAAAATATCAACTATGCCCAGACGCAGTACAAACTTAACGGCTGGCCTCAGTGGTGTAGACCATATATTGAACTGCCCAAGGACTATAGTATTGGTTTAGGCCCTGCTAGCCTCGAGAAGATGCGTGCTGGCGAATCCAAAATCTTTACCAACTCAAGGCATACGCTTACCAGCTCCAAGACATGTCACAGCCTGACCAGCACGCCTGCCAGCCAAGGGCGAACGCAGTTCCACTCTATGCCGTCGCAGCAGCAATCTCCACAAAAGCCACAACCACAGCAGCAAAAGCTGAAGCAGTGCAGCAGTAATATCAGCAATTTGAACTACAAGCCCTTCAATTTCGGTCTGTGTGCAAATAGTTTGATAGAATTTCGCGATGGCGGTGATGGGAGTTCCGATTCCGGTGAAATGAATGTGGTGCCACCCAAAGCCCAAGCCGAAAAAACACCAGAGCAGCAACAGCAGCAGGAAAAGCAAAAATTGTGCAAGCAATATGGATTCCAAGGCCCAATACCCACAAACTTTAGTCCAGTGAGCATCCTTAAAAAGCGCTCTTGCACCAACATACAGGAGGCATTTCGATACAAAGACTATGAATTCGGTGGTAGTTCCAGCAAAGGCAAGCGAGAACACCTCGAAGGACCGCAGGTAATATCGATTCTACGACACGCAGAGCAATACAGTCAAGCCAAAGATATGAGTACTACCAAATTAGAAAATGAATTTCCAAAGCGTCTATCGTCCAAGTCCAGTATCTTAACGACAAAGTCCAAGCCAGATGCTGCGCGGGAAAACCGGAAGAGAATACCTTCGCAGTCCCAAAGCATAGGATTAATTAAGGATGAATTAAATAGGGCTAGTGCCGCCAGCGGTCTGAAAACGCAGCCATCACAGAGTTCTTTGGGTGAACAAATTAAGAAAAAGGACAAAACACGCGAAGAAGTGGACATAGATGCTTTGCGAAGGATTTTACAGCCATTATCGAAGGAAGTCAAAATGAAGTTGATGCCAGAGAAGAGCGCATCAAAGCAACGAAAATTGAATCTCAGTGAGTTGCGTAAGGAGAACAAGGTGCAGGGCATTGAAAAAAGTCCTTTGTGGGACTCTATTATGCAGCTGGTGGTTCATATGTGTGCCGATGACGTAGAAAACGGTCCAAAGGAACAACCGCCTCAGACCAATGCCAGCGGCCATGGCACACGTCTCAGTGCTGGCTCCGGCGCAAACGTTGAGCGACGGACGAAACAATATTCTGTTTATTTGCTTGTCACCTCCGATGAGGAAGAGGATGATGATGAGGAACAGAAAGAGTTGCGAAACCGATCCGACCATGAGCACACGAAGAAAGATGTGAACGAACGTCAGACACTCTTAAAAGATCAAAGGACACGAGATTTCACCAACAACATCAAGGGATCCATTTCCAGTCATGCAGCCACGATGGAGACAAAAAATAAAAAGTACACAAGACGCCGTGTAGCCCGCAGTCAAACGAATGTGCTCAGTTCCAGTACTCCATTGCAGATCCGTCCACCCCTACACTGGCCGAAGACAGACTTCTCAAAGACGTCCAAGTCCAAGCTCTCAAATGTGCGACCCACTTCTTATGTGTCCTGTAAGGGGCAGAAAAGGCGCGCAATTGATTCTAATTTAGCGAGCTGTTTCAGTTTGAATAGAGCCTGCAGTAATCTGTTAACACCAGAGCTATCGCGCCGGAGCTATACCCACACACCGACTCGATCAACAATGATGTCACACAGCGTCAGTCGTCACTAACCCAAAAATCCTAGCCCACAATTTTAGCAGGGTCTTGTATTTTACATCGATGGTAGATGCACATCATGGAAAGAGCCAATGCTATGGGCACTGTCTTTGATCTGCAATTATTGTCGATGGAGAGGATCATCTGATGTTATTTTATATTGAGTTCTAGTTGTTTTTCAACAGTATTCTTTTCAGAAATAAAAGCCCATTTGGGTAGAACTTGGCACTCATTTATCTTGTATTTAGATTGTAAATCCAAATGTATGTAGTATGTAGTTTGCCTTGTCGTAGTTGACTGACGGCTCAAATAAAATCATTTGGTGTGACCCAGCATCCAACATTATGTGATAAAATCGCTCCAATGCCGCTAATCTAAATGTACGCCCCGAATATATACGTGGGACACGCCAATGTCCCAAGATCGAGAGCTAGAGCCGACTGCCAAGGCGAAAGAAGAAGAGGTAGAAGATCAGTCAGTGAGCAATCATTGGCAAAGCAATGTAATAACGAAAGGCGGCATAAGTTTGTGGATTATCGCGGCAACCAGAGCATAAGTCCTTGTCACAGGTACACGCCCAATGAATCCAATTACATCACGGATCTGGCGGTCGATCCTTGCATCAATCGCAACGGGGCAGAACAACAGCCGGGGACACACCATATGAATACTATCCATACACTACTTTTATAAAGAATCCTATTGTAATTAAGAGCGATTGGGCCATGGAGAATTGCCCATCAAGTAGCAATCCTCCTCCTGGGGGCACTGCCTTCGCAAATGAGGACCAATATGCCGGATACTCCTGCAGCAATTTAACAACAGTAAGTCAGACTCAAAGCTGTCATGGTTATGGCACCGGAACAGAAAACACGTGCAGATGGAGGAATCCACAACCAGGTACTCCCTCTTGTTCTCATCAACACGATCGGGAGAACTATGCCGAATATCAGCATCCTAGAAAAAAGAAAAAGGAAATCATTGTCGAAGAATCCTACCCACTCTCAAGAGACCGATCACACACCAAGACGGCAAATAACTGCCATGTTAGGACTCCTATAGTTACAACGTCCGATACGAGACGTGATTATATTGCTAAGGATCAGCCCCAAAGAAACCATTACCAACGCAACAGGGAAGAGTACGTCCAGCCAAAGCATACGAAAAATTACGAATCACATTGTGCGTCCAACGACCATGCCATACGAAATCAGTCGTACATCTGCTACCCAACCCCCTATGAGCCCGATCACAACTACCCTCCAACACCAAGATCCCCTAGTTGTCAGCCCCCAAGGGAAACCTATACTCCAAGCTCGCATAAATTTAGCAGGCCGCCAAGCGAACGTGTACGAAGCAATAGGCCCCATTCAAGTGCCATGAGGAGCAGTGGAAAACGCCATCGTTGTGATCAAAATATAAGACCCGCCAAAAATGCTTGTCCGCGTGCTTCAACTGAGACCGTTGCGGATTGCCCCAGTACTGGATGTCGTCGCAAGAACGCCCCTACCACAGATGTTGATGCTCAGAATGCGCTTCGCACTCTTTGCGAGCATTGTAATGCGAATTCGCCGACCCACAATAACAAGACCTGTCCTGTGTGCAATATATGCCAACTTTTGAGAATGTTGCCGCAAGCGCAGGGCTCCGGGAGTTGCATGCCCATTCAGTATCCTAACCGAAGGATGGCTGGGAATAACACGAAAAGGAAATGCGTTCCAGCTGGTGCGAGGAATATGAATCCCAGACCGGAGTCAAAGGGTTCAGTTACATATGTAAGTACAAATCTGATATCAGTTGATTATGATTCTGTGTGTTCTAAGGATAGCCAGTAGAATCCGAAAAGTCCACGCACAAATAATTGGCGCTCTAAGTCCAAATCGAGATTTTCCCAAGGCGGAACGGGTGCGAAACAGGGAGATAATCGTATTAGGGGAGGTGCAAAATCACTTCAGAAACCTAAAGGTGGGGTGGCGACTAATCGATATAAGGCAATGCAATACAAGATGAAGAGCTGCCTGGTTGTGGTTAGGTCGGACGAAACAGTATGTAAGTGGAGAAGTAAGTTGCATTTTCGACACAAGTAACTATCACAATTCTTAGCCGAGCTCACCGATCGTGGGGATAGTGAGGATGATATGCCACGTTGTTCCAAAGACAGAAGGGTTCCGTTCTTTAGGAACGCACTTGCAAGAGCCAATTTTGTGAAGCAACATCAACAGGAATGTTATCGTTGGTCCTTTTTAAAACCACACTATTCACAAGCCAACACTCACAATCCTACCACCCTGAGGCCTAGTGCCACATTTGTAGTTCCTTCCGAGTATGAGTTACTGAAACAATTCAAGAGCTGTGCAGCCAACGACCTTGATTGGTCAAATGTTGAGCAGAGAGATCATACTGATGGCGAGTGCCCCCATCACTATAATTTGCAGCAAAATCATTTACATTTTAGCGGACATAACGGACACCCCATGGGATGCAATTCTGGCTGGAACTGGCGAAAATTCTTGCCATACTCCAACTATTTCAGGAGCCATTGGCCGTGCAGCTACAGAAAGCCAACACAACTTCCCATGAACGCTGGCTTTTCGACAGCCTAAAGCCTCGCACTCAATAATATACGAAATCTATCAAAACTGAATAAGCAATTTTTAAAACTTCATTATGAAAAGTTTTGGAATCAACAAAATTATAAACCACTATCGAAACTTTGATCAGCGAAGAGGGGGTGGCAAGGAGAACAAGCCAGCGAAAGAAGACTATGAAAGCGACAGTATGCCAGATGAGTGCCCACATCGCGATGCGGCAGTGGTGCCAACAATAAGTCCAGACTCACAGGGTACTGGCTCCTCGTCTGAGGATAAAGAGACCTCCCAAGATCAAAATGCGTCCCAAAAAAACGGTGAAAGTATTTATGTACTCCGGAATTGTAATCAGTGTAACGATTACTCGATCAAACGCTGCGACAAAGGCTTCTGCCCAAAGAAAACGGACGCCCTGCCATCCCAACCACCGACAGTACCATCGGCCATCATAAACGCCATTCTAAAGCGAAGTGCCAGGGAGAAAAAACGGAAGAGAAAGCATAAATATTCCGAAAGAAATCCAGGAGGTAGGCAGAGCGATGCGTGCCAACTGTGTGGACGGCAATTCAATTGTGACTCCCAAGAGGGTTTTGATGGGGTTTGTGACTATTGTGCGACAAAAATAAGAGGGGCCCTAGATAACTTTTATGAGCAGAAGGTTAGCCAGGGGGACCAGGATTGCAATGGACAGCAGCAGTTCAATGTAATTGTTCTTCAGGACGAGAACGCAAGCTTAATCGAACATTTGACTTGTGCTCTGAGCAAAAACAATAATGATCTCTCGAGAACAAACAGTGGCTATAGCAACAAACAGAGATGCGATCAAATACTTGAAATGGCCAATGAGAGAATGTGCCGCTCATCTCAGCCAGATGCCAATCAGGCGAGAAGGTCAAGCAGCTACAGTCGATGGGATGGCTCCAACCGCAGCATAAATCGTCTGAGTTGCCAGCAAAGATCCTGTAGCCAGGACAAGCGATACGATTACGGCAGTCGTCGCAATAGTCGCCATGAACTTAGAGCTAAAAGCTCGTGTGATTTGCAGAACTGTCTGCACAAAACTCTGCCTTCGGATGTGCAGAACGATGATGTGTGCTGTTGTGATTGTCCACGATGCCGAAAAGATGCTCAGGCCGGACTTAAACTATCCGCTCTTATTGCAGAGGCGCTCGAAATATTTATAAATGCGTCGAAAGCGCCCAAAAAAAAGAAGGCTAGAGTGAAAGCGGTGAGCGATGGGGAAGGATCATCAAAGAGCGGTTCGAAACCAGCTTCAAAATCCGGATCAAAGGCGGCATCGAGAAATGCATCGAAGGCAGCATCTAAAGTTGGTTCTGGTATTTTGAACTCCGGCTCCAAAGTCTCTTCCAGGGGCATTTCCAAGATAGCATCAAGAGTCTCACAAGTTAGCTCCTTGGGTAGCCGCACCAAATTGAGAAGACGCTCGAAACGGCTTAGTACAAAGGCGCCAACTCCGAAAAAGGAGGCGATGTCTGGGTCCGGTCCTTGTTGCTGCCATGGCTTGGGCAATGCCTTCGGCAATTTATTAAATCGTCAAAACGCGTTCGTCTTACCATACGACATGGGTGTTATGGGTTCCGCGAGTCCTGCTGCAAAGCCCGGACGTAGTGCTGGAGACGGAATCGGACAATTTGGCAGTCACATCGAAACACGGCCCATCAATTCAAGGCACAAACGTTGCTTTGAATGTCCGTGCGATAATAAGAATAAGGCAAGCAACGCTCGTCCAGCTGCCTTAGATATCGGAAGTCCAGGACCACTCAATCGTTTCTCTTCAAGTGAGCGCTCCGTAACGGCTTACAAGGAACCCAAGCATAGCAAAAAGGGCAAAGGACGTAAGTCTGGGGGTCAAGTGCAAAATCAAAAGTCCAAAACCAGTACCCCCGTATTTAAGGGACTTCGTCCCATTGCACACTATAGACCCGGCATGCTTAACCTGCCGATAGCCGCCCTCAAGGTGGGCAACTGTATCGGACGTAGTGTCGTTCGGACGGCTGCTGGCATAACCCTGCATCAGAAGCCCTGCGAGTTCGTGGATGTGGCGGATCGGCTGTCAATGCATTGGAATCGCTATCCCTCGGCGCATAATAGATGTAGAAGGAATTTTTCTTGAGAGCAGGCTAGCAAGGATTGTTGTGCCCAGCAAAAGAGTATAAGAGTTCAGCGCGTGCTCTCAGAAATTACGCATTAAATAGCCCAGATTACAATCTCGACCATATAATGCATAATTTCGCTCAGTCGCAAAGTGGTTTATAGTTTTAGTCTAAATTGCAACTGGATTATTCTCACATTTCTTCCAAGCATTTGCACTAAATTCTAATAAATTAGCATCCAAATTTTAAACCACCAATCGACTGAACTCTGCATTTTAATCTGCACAGAGTAAGTATTGTATTTTTGAGTTGCAGTTCCGGCAATAGCGGAAGCCGATCCATTTATTTCCGGCCAATCATTAGACTGGCCCATGGCGGTGCAACTCAAAAAAAAAAGAAAAAGATAAAAAAGAAGATAAAAATCAAATCAATAAAAGTAAAAGCAGATCACAATGTAGTGTAGCTCTGACGACCATCTAATTACCGAATGTCCCGTTGGGTTGGACTGCCAATGGAAAACGTTAATTGCTTTCAGGACTATGCACTTTTCTCACTCACGGGCGTGCTCCTTCTCGTTCCCGTTCAGCAGGATATCCCTTTCCTTGTTTTTGTTGTGTGCCAACATTTGTTGTTTTCTTTCTTCAATTCTCGCCGCCCCTGCTGTGCCTACGGCTGTTCCTGTTCCTTCCTGTCGCATCCTTCCTGCTGTGCGTGTTATTTTATTTTCTACAAAGAACGCGCCTTCTGTTCGTTTCTGCTTATTATCAGGACTATGGGTTTGTTTTGTTTTCTTAGTGTCTTCACGCGTTGCATTTTACAGGATATGTTGTCAAAAATATATCATTGCTGAGAATGTAATTTAAAGGCCGTTTGTCTACCAGCTGGACCATCTTTTTATACCCTGTACCCAAAGGGTACAAGGGTATATTAGTTTTGTGCGAGTGCACATGGAACACACAGAAGGAGGCTTGGTAGACCCCACAAAGTATATATATTCTTGATCAGCATGACAAGCCGAGTCGATATAGCCATGTCCGTCTGTCCGTCTGTCCGTCTGTCTGTCCGTCTGTCCGTCTGTCCGTCTGTCCGTCTGTCTGTCTGTCTGTATGAACGCAAGGATCTCCGAAAGTATAAGAGCTAGAATAACCAAACTTGGTATACAGATTCTCCTGAGACCGAGAAAGGACGAGTTTGTTCATTTTTTCTGATCCACCCCCCCACTCCCCCCCTATTACTGATTTTCTATAACTCCCGTAATTCTTGGAATTTTCAACTCAAATTTGGTAGTCACATTAGGTTAGTTATTATATAACCGTATACCAAGTCTCATTATGATAGAATGATCGGAAAGTTATAGCCATATAACCAGGCCCAATGCACACATACATACATATGTACAAGTACACAAACACGCATAAGGCACGATTCTGATGTAAATGTAAATGTATGTATGCATGCATGGAATATTTTATATTTAATTTAGTTAATTAATTAAATTAATTTAGTTAATTAATTAAATTAATTTAGGTAATTAATTAAATTTAATTAATTAATTAATTTAATTACTTTTTTGTGGGGTGGTACAGGGTATTTAAGAGTTGAGCCTGCTCGACTTTAGCATTCCTTTCTTGTTTAACTTCTAGAGTAGAAGAAGTTTAGTCGAATGTTTTAAAATAGATGATTTTCTTTTCCATCAAACTGGAATATGATTGAGGCTTGGTCCTCGCAGTGCAAAAATTCAATATTTTGTCGTAAAATACAAAAATTTGTTAATTGGGTTTCCAAGTTTCAGTTGAAAAGAGGTTTTATGACGATGAGAAGTTAAGAAAATGTTGTTGGTGGTCATAAATATTATATGTACTATATACTATCTAGTGATAACGTTAGCAAGCTGATTAAAAAGGATATGCGTAGAATATTTAATTTAAAAAAAAAACGTCTTAAATTTTTTCTATATTTTTGAATGTTCCAGAATTATCAATTATCTTTCAAAGCAAACCAAATGTGGATGAACTATACACATTACAACATACTATTTAATTCTCGGGAACACTAAAAAAGCTTTGTGGATGTGCAATTGTCCAATTCATTTGAAAACGCCGCAATTAAGATTTATTAAATGAAAGCGGAACGGGAATCCAATATGTTACGCTGGTGTGGCTTGTTTTTGTGTTTTCCGATGATGCTGTGATTAATGCGGGTTTCGTGTATATCTTCATGGACACAGTTATGTTGTGGATGCAGATTGTATATATGTACATACTTTATTTTTGTAGCCATAAACTCGTAAATGCTGTGGAAAGATAATGGAAGCTAAGAGGATGGGAGATTGCGACCTTTGGGACTTAAGCTGTAAGATCTCAGATCTTTGTGTTGAAATAGATTTTAGGTGCTGATGATAGCGCTGTGATAAAAAGTCAATCTCAAGTCATTAAATGTTCTCTTCAGATTTTACTATTGAGTTATGGGTGTATTAGCCACTCTCTTCTTAAGATATAAAGCCAGTATGTTTGAGTTGCTGAGTGAAATATTTTATCCAGACCTTTTATTTATAGCGCGATCTATAGCTATATAGAGGCCTTAAGTCAGGTTTGTTTCGAATTCCATAGAAATATAATTTGCAATTTGACAATTATGAAGATAACATACAAGCCCTTCTTAGCAGATGTGGCTTCTACGTATTATTGAACTCTCTTTCAGTTCTCCATATTGAGTCTTAGCTGAATGATTAGCTTAAAGGGGTTGCTTTTTATAACCTTCGACAAGCAGCATGTAAGTTGCCGTTTCAAAAATAGATCTGTTTTAGAGCTAAGCGCCGAATAAGTTCCGTTTTGGAAATATGTAAAGAGAAGAGATATGTTTCAATTTTATGAAAGTCTTCCCTGAAATGTTGAAAACTTTATGACTGACATGTCGCACAATCTGTTTATTGATTTATAGTCTTGGAAAGTACCAATAAAATATTCCACACACTGCAGTCGGAAACCCTATAGCCGGTAAACAGAAATAAAAACACGATCGTAAAACTCATTTTCCGTATATTTTCGTGCACTTTAAACGGCTGTTGAAAACGGCGCCTGGGCTGGGAGGGAAGGAGCGGTGTAGATCCAGAGTCAAACGCATCTCTGCGGCCATAAATCGTTTAGACTTAAGGCAGGGGCGGAAGGCAACATGCCCAACTAAAAATAAAAACTCACACATTTTCGTACTTATGATAACATTTGATTAGCAGGGAGAAGTGGAACGACGTACGCCCACAATTCACCAAATGTCTAATGGCAAGTCGTATCCTATTTTGGGAATAGTGTGTTTTCCGAAACACCCCTTGTGGAGGGATTTTCCTAAAGCAGCTGCAACAATAAAGGAATTATTGAAATTGGCTCTAGAGGAATTATTAGAATTGATAATGTACACTCAGAGAAGAACCATTTAGGCTACAATATGGTTGCCATTCTCTTATAATTTTTTAATTTTTTAAAATATTTTCTAACCTAAGTTAAGGTGTGAACAAAATTTTATTTTAAAAGTTGACCAAGAATTCATTTTTTTGTGATATTTACGAAACTATGGAATTTTTCTCAAGCTTTTATAAAAATATTATTTTTAAAATGTTTAGCATTTAATTATGAACCTAATAGTGCCATATCAGAAAAAAATTTCTTTTATTTCTTGTTTAAAAAAAATGAGGGGTTTGTTTGAAAGTTGAGTAAATAATTTCGTTCGGCGACATTGAAAATAATTGTTCTCTCTAATTGTAGTAACTCTTAGTTTTCTAAAATCGAATTTTAAACATTATTGAAGGTTAAATATCTTTCATTTGATTGGAAAACATTTTAAAATTTCTTTTTCAAGATTTTAAAACCATCACAGTAGATTTTTGTACTTAAAATAATTTTTGTTTTTTTAAATAGCACAGTGTATTTTATTTAAAACTGTCCATCGCGGACAATCATTAAATTGGTTAAATAAACTTGACAATTTATTATTTCATTTAATATGAGGTTGTAATATCCCGCTAGTCCCTGGGGATGTACTTAAAAAATGAAATAAAATAAGTTTTTTAAATCGTATATACGAGTACTTGTTGTTATAATTATTTGTCTTCTATCTTTATTTAAGATTTAAGTCTTCAGTGTTGAGATTTATGGCTGAGATCGTGTTTAGAGAGCTTTTGGTTCGCAAAACGTTGCTGCAGACCGTTTCTAGAAAGCCTTATTTATCATAAAATATATACAATTTTGTCCGAGTGTAGGTTTTATAAAACGTGAAATAGAAACTAAGCTCACACAGATCCTACACATATACTTGTACATGTACATACGTGTATGAATCATTTTAATATTATTTTAAGCGAGAGTAGCGGCAACTTCCTTTTTGATTTGTGTAGGTATGTGCAGGTACAGGTATTGCATGAGCAACGTATCAGCAGTTCCCGTAAAGAAAAACGGCACGTAATTGAAAATAAACAAGTTGTGTAAATAGATAGTTGGAGAGAGACAGAGAGAGAGAGAGAGAGATAGAGGCAACGTGTAAAAACACATATTTCTGGGCAATCATAAAAATTAACGCACAGTCCATACAGAGTCACGTACCAACGACTCCGTGTACTCGTATGATGGCAAATAATGGGCAATGAGCATGAGCCGGCTTCACGCATTTCAGGGCTCGCCCCTGTCTGGCAGTGTGAGGCTAAGCAAACATCCTTTTTGGTAATTTGCGCAGGCTCAGTTGGCGGCATGCAGGCATTTCCTGTCTCAAATGCTTATCATGTGTGCCTATCGGCCAAATTTACATTTGTCTGCATTCTCAATAGACTGAAAACTAATGTGCAATTGAATGCACTGCAGAAGCAGCAGCAGCAGCAGCTGTTGTTTGTAGATCCTTTGAGTGTGGCTTATGCTTTCAATTTCCATGGACGTACATGTATGTGGCCAGACAGGATGCGTGACAGCTCGACAGATTAACTGCAACTATTTGGCATACTGAGAGCTACAAAGATAGAGGGAGGGGAAGGAAGTGGAAGTGGTGTTTGCATTGTTTGCATCTACGGCCTAATAGTGTTTTTCTTTAATCAGGCGCATAAGAGTATTTCCCATTCAATCGGCTCACGCAAATCAAGATTTGTTAACTCACGCATGTAAACATTCAGAGTCCAATCCGTATAATGCTAGACATTCCCGCTAAAACACGTACACACCATTTAGATATCGTTCGATATGTACAACATTTCAAAGTGAAATTGTCATCAATTAGGATGCGGATTAGGCAATTGAAACAATATTATTTACTTTGCTCTGCCATCAGAAGTGCAGATGCAGAACCACTTGAAACCACAAACACGAGCAAGGCACATGTCGCCAAAGGACGAGAGCCGTCATCCGATAATCATCGACAGCTGAAAAATAGATGCAACCCCTTAATTGCTGCAACTTTCGTAATAATACCCTGCACCCGAAGAGTGAAAGGATATTGCTACCTGTTTCGAGCAGGTCGATTTGTCATTAGACGAGCTTAGATGAGTTTAATCAATATGTATAGATTTGTCCGTCTGTATGAACGTATGGATCTCCGAAAGTATTGAGACTAGAAAGAGCAAACAATTTGATATTTGTATATGCACGTTTTTTGCTGATCTACCACTCCACTCCACAATTCTTGTAGCTCTCCGAATGTTGTCTCCTCTTTGATAATTACATACTGTTAGTTGGTATGTGTCCTCATGCAAAGCATTATAGTGATAGGGGAAACCTATCGAAATTTTAGGCCAATATCATGTCTATCCTATATATTTATTTATTTATATTAAACTAATTGTTTGGGTACAGAGTCTTTAGGAGTCGGTTCCATTCCATTGATGCATGGATGCTAAAACGCTCAGCCATTGGCGTGGCACGGCCCGGCAGATGTTGGGCAGAGCAACTCGAGACATCCGCAGGACACGTCCTGGGTGTGAACAGTGCGCCAGAGATCTACATACATACATATGTACATAGGTGTGTCAATTGCGCATGCCAGTAAAGTCGAAGATCTACTACGGCTTGGGCTCGTCTCAGCTTACGTTTGTTCTTGTGAACCCCAACGATGCGTAACTCGAGCATCCATTTCACGCTAGCCCACAATTGTCTATGAAATGGAGAAAGGATTTAGGCACTTATGCCCAGACACACATGCACCTACAGATGTAGAAACGAACATGTGTCTCGTAAACGACCGCAAACGTCTTTAGAGGCGAGCATATAGGCGCGAGCCCGTTCATCAAATGATCCTGGCAGTTTGAAAAGGAAGTTACAGCCGCAGTACGAAGCAGAAGCGCAAATTTTAATAGCATTGTTTTGAGCAGGAAAAAGGATTTCCTGTAATTACACTGAGCGCGCCGGGCGGATCCGCCGTCAGGGAAACGCACGGCCGGTATAATTAGTCAACACCACACCAGAGACAAGACAATCGATGTACGTGAGCGACACTGAATAATGAAAAACAATTCGAAAATACATACTCATACATATGTATGTGCATATGTTTGTGCAATTAATAATGCATCGAATGGATTTTTTTTTTTGTTATTAGTAGAAGCCAATTGTGCTGTCCACGCCTTCGTCTTACGAGCCCTTAATAGCTAAATATTTACTTAAAAGTTTTATGTTCAGCTTCATCTCAATTTTTATAGCACGTCCATAAGCTTTATTAAACATAATAAGAGTTTTTCGAACTGGAATTATTCTTCATTGCCATTAAACTGATCATTGAATTTTGATGGTCTTGCTGTCATTTGGGTATGTGACTAGATATTAATTGAGGAACTATCTGTATTAGATATGTATGTCACGAAGCTAGGTGAAGGAATCCAAAAGATGTCCAAGCGAGGACTTAAAGCCGAGCAGCTTTTGCTGTGCATTTGGTGGGAAGGAGATCAGCTATCAATATTCAACAATTACATTGTTTTCACGATTACAACCGCAAAACACGCACATTAAGAATAATTTGGAAACTTAGAGAGCTTGGTACATCACCTTTTTCTTATCATTACAAAATTTATTTAAAGTAAAGAGAAAGGAGTTATAAATTTATCTTCAAATTGAGAACAGGCCATTAATCAAAAATGGGACAAATCTTATTTAAATCAAAATTAATATTAAAAGAATTTAACTTGAAGAGTTTGAAAATAGGGTTATGTTAGGGATTTTTAAACTAAACTTTAAAATACAACTAAAGATTAATAATTTCTCACGTCCCACAACAAACAAACACAATGACCTTTAACCTTATGTATGTATATTGAATAATGCTCATCAACTTTTATTTCATATTAATTGTGGAATAATATTTTGATATAGGGAATAGATGGTAGTTTGGAAAATTCTTACAAAAGATAGAAACACAGCTCTGGAACTATTGTGACTCTGTTTGCGGACTATTCACTTATTAACAGAATATTATTTTAAATAATTCAATAAATGTAAATATTGTTTAAAACCAATTGTCGGAAAAATAATTCTTTTACATTTCCTCAGCCGAAGGGTGAACATTTTCCTTCTCTCACTCTCAAAACCAATGGAAACTGTTGTTAAGAACTCTCTAGCGTTATTAAGAGGCAAAAATAAAAGTGTGCGGATTTAAGTAATAAACATTTATGAATATATCAATATAAAAAATGTAAAAATGTAGCAATAAGTTACAGTCATGTTGTAATTAATTAGATAATGTTAAATAAATGCAGCCTGCACGAACCGCAATGGGGCGTTCCAAGCATTGTCGTTTTATTTGAATAACCTCACATAGGGAAGAGTGCAAAGAGCTTAAGCGAAGAGAGCAGACGGGCTCGCAAAGAGAGAACCACAACGATGAGCGGCAGCAAGCAGGCCAAAACCACCACCGCCTCAAATCAACAAAACTCGCTGCACCAGCACGATCGCAGTCAGTTGAATACGCGAAGTGCGAGCGCACAGAACGCAGATACCGGAACGGTGGTCGAGCAAGAGATACGTAGATACATCTGCGGTGCCCGTACACGAAAGATATACGCAAACTACAAAAAAAGTAAAGTAAATTGCAGCGGTGCGCCACTTGGAAACTGGAATTACCACCCAAAACGGCAGCCAACTACCGACCGTCAAACATATGTACATGCATGTGTGCTAAGTGAAAAATTGAAGCAATAACAACAACAACTGCAGCGGCAGCAGCAGCAAACAAAACGCCAATTGCTGCAACAAATTGAGGCAATAACAAAAAACTTTCGAAATTTGAGCTCAGCATATAGAAAAGTAGCTCAAAGCAAAAGAAGACCTATATATATATATATGTATATATATATATATATATATATATATATATATAGTATAGTATATTTATACTCATTGAGAAATTAAAAAAACCAAGCCGAATAGTTAGAAAAACTAGCGAAAAGTGAAAGCGTGTAGTTAAAGTGCAATTTCTTTTTGGATAAACAAAATACATAAATAAATACAAACAAAAATACGCATTTGAATACAAAACAGCACAGGAAGTTCGCAAACGAAAGTCACGCAAAAAGAGTCGAAAAGAAATGTATAAACAAATTAAAGTATATACAAACGTATAAATAAAAGTAATATATTCAACGTGACAACACGACAAAGGAAATTCAGTGGCACCCCACACCCCCTCCCTGGCTGCTATAGGCTATCTTTTATTGTTGCTGTTTGCGGTTTTCGACCACAACGTGTGGTCTTTGCTGCTGCATTTGGAATAACTCTGTCAAGGTGAGTCATAAACCTATACTACTTGTATATGTATGTACATACTATATACCGAGTTATACTTGTATGTGAGATATGAACTCAGTAGTAGTCATAATTTAGCTCACATCTCACTTACTAGTTTCGCCAGCCCCATTATCAATGACACCCAGACCCAAACACAGACCCAAACACAGACACAGACACAGACCCAAGCATTTGTATTCATTTGTGGCTCATTAACAGCGTAATCACTTCGTGTTGAATAGCTCTCAAGATCCATGGGTTTTCATTAACGACGCCAACAGCAACAGCAACAGCGGCATCAAAACAAACCATAATTTTTGTTATTGTTGTTGTTGTTGTTGTCATGCGCACAATTCGTTTACAATTTAAACGGCTTGTTTCACACACGAGTATTTGTTCTTCGTATTTCTACAACCTTCACTTTTAATGAAGAGGTATCTTCTGTTGGCCATGAATGTTTGTAACCCATGGAAGGTGAGAAGCCTGCTAAATCTCTTATATTCATATAAACACATAGATATAGCAAGGTCTCAATACTCCTCCAATGATTTCAATTCTTATTTTCGCTCATCTTAAATTGCATCTAGAAAAGCATTTTCACTCAGATTGGTTCAGTTTATAAAAAAGCTGTAATATAAAAGTAACACCTTATCTGCAAAAGAGTTTCTTAGTACAGTTCTTAAATAAATCAATCAAATGAACTTGAAAGCACTGTATATTCGTACCTTTTGTAACAGACGACATATTTTATGTTCTTGGTAATTAAGAAGATCAAAATTCGTATCAAAAGTTAATAAAGAGTGTGTGCACTTCGACTTAGCCGAAGATACAATTTTGTATCTTTTCTGTTGTGACTTGCCAATTGACCTTTAAAAGGTGTATCTTCACATATACACTCAAATTGGCATACTTATTCCAAAGTTGATGCAGCCGAGGACGGCAGGCATAATTGAATTAATTAACAAAAACGAAACCTCTGGTGAATAAACAGAAAACAAAGTATTGAAGAATTGAAAGTGATAATATAAACACAAATACGATTCTATATTCCTGAAACTGGTTTCGAACTGTGTGTGTACACGAATTTTATAAACAATTTAGACCAAACTTTAACATGCATTCAAAATTTTTTGAAGGATGGAACATTGTTGACTGATTGATTTTTTTCAAAACACCTTTTATTGTTTATTTAATAGCTTAGTCGTAAAATGATTCAAATCGATTTAAATGGTTGCATTATCGTCCACTTAAAACTATGTGATTAGTAAGAATTGATGACTCAATAGAATTAATGTTTAAAATGGGGAAACTTTTGTTATAGAAACAAAATACAAAAAAATAAAAAATTAATAATTCGAATGGAACTTTAAAATGTTTAGGTGGAATAGGGATGTGATCCAAAATTAATTTCGATTTAATGTATCTGAAGAATGCTTGATGCCTCGATGTATCTGAAAACTTATATTTCGTACAAATTGGCACATTTCATAAAATTGCTTCTTTAGATTAATGATCCATAATTCTATACAAATTATATGTTACATTTCTTGATGGTATATAATGGTGTAAAATTTTTTATCACTTAATTAAAAGGAGCTTTGGAGTTTATTTGAAGTTTTGAAATTCTCATTTATTTATTAATATTAAGTTTAATTTTTTGTGTAGCGCTTGATTTAATTTTTAAATTTAAATTTTAAATTAAAAATTTTTTTTAATAATTTGAATAAATGTTATTATGAAAGAATTCTTAGCAAATGAAAACTGAACATATTTTTAAGGAGTAAAAGTTGATATGGAGAAATTATTCTCTTAAATCCGACAAGAATTTCGAAAGCAATTTAGTCTAATTTGAGCGGCCTGGAAATATTAAAGGCAAAGCGTTTGATTTAATTTTTAAATTTAAATTTTAAATTAAAAATTTTGTTAATAATTTGAATAAATGTTATTATGAAAGAATTCTTAGCAAACGAAAACTGAATATATTTTTAAGGAGTAAAAGACGGCAAGACGGCTGCCAAGACGGCAGCTGCAAAATGCATTTCGAATTCGGCGTTTTTCTCTCTCGCTCGCTGCCCGCATTATTATTGTAAATGCGCGCGCATGCGCAATGCCCACAGGATGCGTGCGCATGTCCGTCTGCCATTCGAGAGAGAGAGGATAAAGATGCGAGAGTGGCGGGCTCAATTGTGTGTGTGTGTGTGTGTTTCAGCCGCTTTGTGCTGTAATCTTTGCAGCTGCCGCAGGGCCAGATGCACCTGGCTGCGGTCTCGCAAAAACTTCTTAATTAAATTCAATTTTTGTGCCCTTCTTATCTCTTCTTCTGTCTCCCTCTTTCTCTGTCTCTCTCTCTCTCTCTCTCTCGTTCTTTTCCTCCACCTATCGCGCTGACCTACAAAGGAAGTGACTATCGCTTCATTTTTTCTTTTACGTTTCGTGGAAATCAATCGAAGAACATTCAACTGCAACGGATGCCGTGAATTGTCATCGCCCCGCAGATACAGATAGCGTTGCGCCCAGCGACGTGTGTCGGCAGCGCTCTATTTGCGTTGACTTTGATAAGAACGCTCGCTGATTCCATTGCATTGCTATTCGTACATACATATACAAGTATACGTACTCGTGCCTATATATGTTTACTATATATGCAAAAGTCATCAGTCGCTTGACCCATACCTGTCAAACAAAGTTACATCCGTAAAGATACTTGGGCGTAGCCAGTAACCCATTTGGGGGGAAAAGGTTTGTGCCTGCCTTAAAAACCACACAATCTGTTTAGTTCAATTGAGTTAACTAATTTGCCAATGTCTTTTATTCATGGTTGTTAAATAGTATTAAGAAAATTAATGTTTCTCATTGAATATGTTTTTGGTATCTCGCAAAAATCATATAAATTCCTAGTAACTCCTAGTCGATATAATAAACTCAAAGCATGATCCCACATGCAAATAATTTGCTCACAGATTTAGCTAAATTGAGTTAACCAACTTGAGAATGTCTTTAATTCATGTTTGTAAGCTTATGGTAAAAACTAATGTTCACCATTGAATGCGTTTTCGGTCTTGGGCAGAAATTATAGAAATTCTCATTACCTCCAAGTCGATATAAGAAACTTAAGGCATGATCGCACATGCAAATGATCAGGACGAGACAACTAAAGGGTGGGGATTACAACTAGCCCTCTTTCCCCCTTTGCTACACCCTTGTACATATGCACAAACGAATACGTTTATGTATAGTTGGTGGCTTATTTGCGACGCATGCTGAGATCTGTACGCTTCGTTTGTAGTGGCACGTGTGCAGACGCCCCTTGTTGCCGCCCCATTTAAATTATTTGGAGCTGACGCCAAAAGAGACACACATACAACCATCAGCTGCAGCGCCCGTATCTCTAGTCGGCGGCGCTTCAGGAAATGACGAATGTTTTGCCAAAGCAGTGTTACCAATTTAGCTATTTTTCCGCCAGACATGTTGCGCTTATGGAATTTTTTAGTGGCTCTATTACAAAGCAAGTTTGTTACTGCAGTATTACTTACATCTATTTTAGAGCTGATCTAGTGCTGATTTATTTGTAGGTATTATTGGCCTGTCATATGTCATATGCCTTAAAATTAAGCTAAAAGTATTTTTAAACTCTTATATTAATAAATAAAATCTTTAAGAAGTCTGTAAACTATTAAAACTATTAGAACAATGAAATTGCAGAGCATATAATTATAAAGCTGTTTTTAATGAGGCAAAACTATTTTACTATGCATAACAATTTGTTTCGACATTTCCATTGCTAATCCAGCCTTTTCTGACCCTAACGAATTGACAGCACTAGGCCCCAAAACTGAAAAGAACGTGCCACTCTCTTTCATATCTTGCTCTCCCCCCTTTCTCTCTCGCTCTCACTGTGTTCGCGGTGTTACATGATTTGTAATATCAGCAAATGCAACGCATATACTCGTACATACACATACATACATATGTATGTGCGTCACATCATATCAAACAACAACAACAACAACTGCAGGAATGACGCGTCGCGACACCGCCGTTTTACTTTTCAAATCCGGTTCGTTTGGGCATGACCGCCGACGCCGTGTCCAGGGCTACAAAAATTGTTTATTTTTATCAATGTTTAACAGATTATCATCTGCCACCCTTGTTGTTGTTATTATTATTGCTGTTTGTTGCTTTGAATGGCAGCCAAAAAACTAAAACCGGTGCAAGCTAAATAGAAAGTTGCAATTATTGCCGCAACTAAGAATATTCGAATTATTTAAATTAACCAGAATCATAATCAATATAATAAATTTATTATTTATAGTCTTTTAAAATTCACGTCTCATACAATAAGCCAATAACTATTAAATAATGTTCCAAGAAATTAAGGGCTTATGTCGTGCCTTTAAAAAAATTTAATGAAATATAATTAAAAGCAGAAATTATCATTTTAAAAATTATATGTTGCTTTTTTCTTATATCAATGGGAGGGATATACCGTCATCGGAGTGATGATTAGTTCCATTAATAGTAACTCGTATAGATATTGGTAAGTTTACGTAGGTTATTGACGCAAACGGCCCTGTTTCCGGTTTCGATACCGCTTAGGTTAGACAGAGCCGATATGCGAAATATAAATATTTGTATATGTTTCCCGATTCCGCAAAAAATTAGCAGTTATATGTTTTCGTATATGGCATAGGGACCAAAGCCGAAAAGGCCAACCCCAGAGGTATGCTATTCTTATTTTAAATATGTTATAGCTTATAAATTTGATAAAACTACAAGAAGCCAGTTCTCAGCTTTTTTCAAATGCCCATGAATTTGATTAGTTCTGCTATTTTATTTTCTATAGCTATTTACCTTAATAAAAGAAAAATGTATGACTAGAGAACTAGAGGAAGCGCACAATTTAGCAATCGTTAAGTTAGAAAACACAATGCCACATCTGCGACTGCGTCTTGGGGTGCACATCGTTAGTGAATGGATTCGTAAACACATATGTATGTATGTATACTTGTATGTAACGGAGAGGCATTAAAATGAAAAGCCAACAATATTGTATTGCTTAATAAAAATTATAATCGAGCGACGTATTTACAAATGTGTCGAGCTGTCTCTTCTATGTCCGTACAAATGTATTTGTTTGCTTCTATTTTAATGTAAATCGACAGAAACAAAAACCGTCTGAGCAAAGTGGAATGAATGCCAAAAATAATACATACGTACAAGTACGTATATTTATATATGTATGTATGTCTATATATGTATGTGTGTGTGCTTAACATGTTTGGGTGTGTGGGGCGCAAATTACGCACTTAAAGTGCTCGCCAAATGACAGGAAACGCATCATTTTTACGAACTCCAAATTACGATTTTATGTGTGTTGTATTTTTTTTTTTTTTTTTGTCGTGCCTTTTTTCCTCCTCATACTCGCACACTTGGCACAAATGGGGAGGGGTAAGTCTGTTTATATAGTAAGTAGCTGCTACTAAGTAGCAAAGTCAACAGCCAAGAGACAAAGTGCAGACAGAAGGTACTTTGTACTTTGGTTCATAATTAAAACTGGCGTATGCGCATTTCCTCATTTATATCGGCAACAGTACAAATACATATGATTGTGTGTGTGTGTGTTTGCTTGCATTTCCTTGCAAGAGCTAAGCGCATCCTGTGCGCGGGCGGATATGAGCGCGTTGCACATACTTCCTGTCATTGACTCTGACTCTCTCCACCAAATAGTAACAAAAAACCATTTCCTACCACAAGGCAGTTGCTGACAAAGCAAGCGTAGCGTAAAAAGGGCAGCAATAACAACAACCACAACAAAAGCAACAACAATATGACATTCTGACGCGTGCTCAACGCGTGTGTCTGTCCATCAGTTTTGAATTTGAATTTGGACAGAATGTCATGCTGTTTCTGTTGACAAAATACACACGAGCTTGTACGTCTGGCATATGGGACACGGATAGGAACACGACTTGGGGGCACACACACAAATCAATCAAACTGATGTCAGCCAACTGCGACTTTCCGGGGATGTACTATATACATACATATATATAGACATATGTAAATATATTTACATACATATGTGCTATGTTTGTAATTGACAACGGAAGCGTTGTAGACAAGCTACTGGCGTTGTTAATCTTTGAAGATTTTTAAAAAGATTTTGTTGATAAAGTACCAATGTGCATGGCAAAAAGGACATTCGAAAGGCACACAAATACATGCACGAGCAAACACGAAAAAAAAGCACACTAGCTCGGAAACGAATGCTGAGTATTCGAACAATGAATTCTAATTTTTAAGGGGCAAACTTTAGTTGAATTTAAATCTCCTTTTTATAAATGTACATTTGCTTATCAGTTGTTGCTTATAAGAGTAGTCCTTGTTTGTAAATCTAACTTATTCCTTGTGAATGTACCCTTTCAGCATTCCATGAATTTCAGGAGAAGTGAAAACACGGCCCATCATTTTCGAGTACTTGAAAAGATGAAGAATGACTGCGTTTCAAAACCGTTGACTAAATTGTTTACTGTACCTGTTCTCGATAAAATGGTGCAATTTAAAAGGCCTGGGCGTTTGAGCTGTAATATGTTTACACTGCACCCATTGATTTAAAGCATTCCAGAATTTAATTAAATTTTTTTTAGTTCGATAAGAGCCTGTGGCTATGTGTCTCATAGGGTGGGTCAGGTTTTTTTTTTGCTCAAACTCTAGCCTCTGACATGTCGTCAGCACTCTGAACGCCTAAAGCTCTTCTTTGTCGCTCTACAGTTAGTCGTAGTTGGTATTTCTGCTTTCCTAACCTGAGTTTTCAACCTTGATAAGTCGTTAAGTTGTCCTGGCATAGTTCTTACCTAACTGCATTACTTAAACATCTTCTGGAGTTTTGAAGACTAACTCTGGTTTTATTTCTTTATTTTTTTATTACTTTTTGTAAGCATTCAAAATTCAGAGAATCCCTTCTAAAATATTAGAGGAGATTTTGAAGACGGCAGGCACATTGCATACGCAATTATTTCTTGAAACCAATGATTTATTTTTAAATCTTTCTTGGATCCATATATTCTGGGCATCTCATTCCATTTCCTTTCTGTTGACTCACAATCTGCAAGTGCTGTTGACGGAAACACTTTAAACGAATTCCGGAAAACTATTAAAATGCGCAAATGACAATTGTTAACGTTTCGTTCCAGAGTCATTGAGAGCTTGAGCGTCCCTTTCTTTTTGCGAAACGATATCTGCGCTAGTCAGGTCTCTTCAGCCGCCCTTTCAGCTCTCTTCTGCTCCATCGCTTCCGCTTGCGAACACCTATCTGTACACATCTCTGTATATACTAGTATGTATGTATGTATGCATGTATGTATGTATTTTGTGTCGGCGGATGTTTTGGGTTCCGTTCCGTCCGCACGATGGTGATGTGACGCGTTAGCCTTTTTGTTTTGCTCCCCATTTTCGCAACTGCCAATTTGTCGGTAATTATTTCCGCTGGCCCGCTGCCGTCCTTGTCTTTGTCTCTACTTGCACATGTCCATACACACATACATACATACATACATACATATGTACATATACTATGTATATGTTATGCTGATATGCCATTGATAATAATCGATTCCGGTTTGCCTTTCTATGTCAATTGTCTGTTTTGTTGCTGCTTGCATAAACAAATGTGTGCCATAATTTAAATGCTCAAGTCACATCTGTTTGTAGGTATTTTTTTCTATTATATACATATACACGCAGAGAAAAAGTTTAAGTGCTTCATTTAAGTAGTTTTTTGAGCATTAGTATTATTTATTTTTATTTGAAATTAGTAATTCGATTGAATAATTGGTTTTCTTTTCTGTAGTCACTCAAAGATTTAAAGTTTATGTTCAAGAATTTTTAATTTGATATTTCAAATATTTTATTCTAAATCTTTCTATTTGTTTCTGTTGTTATATAATACACAGTCTACCGACAGATTTCATTTATCAGTTATTTCTCTTTCCTACACTTAACTCAAGATCAAAATTCCTATTACAATATATTTAAGAAAAATTTGTTTCTGAATTAAATACATAATGGTGTCTCTTTTTGTTACCAAAACAAGTTAGGATAAACGTTTAAAATGTAAAAGTATAATAATACCTTTTCTCCCAAATGTGCGTTCTGCAAATAAAATAATACCAATTGGGCATTGAACTGTTTGATTTGAATGGATTTCGTACTTGAAATTTATAGTACGATTAGGGACGGCCCGGAGGGTATTTTCGGGTACTTTTTTTCTATCAGTGTACATTTATGTATGTATGTATGTATGTAAAGTTTGTGTGTGCTTATAATTGCTCGGACTCCGACGGCATCATTAGATTCATGCGAACCGAACCGACGACGCCCATTTCAGTGGCAACAAGGTCAGATTTAATAATGCGCGTACCACGCTGCGTATCCGCATTATAGTTGCTGTTGTTGCTGCGATTAAACAATTGTAAGCTTATAAAAGCATTTCCGCCGGTGACAATCGCACATATACTATACATGCTCGTACATGCATCCAAACATATAGATATGTATGTAGATACAGTCGAACTCGCATGACACTCAATGAGTCAGTTGGAATAATCAGCAATCGTTACCTCTTTGTTTTCAGAAACACTTTAAAAACAATGCAAGTGGAGGCCAGCTACCCAAAATATGCCGGACGTGTACCGCCCCTGGATCTCTCGCAGGTCGGCACAGGCAACGGCTGTCGGGCCGACGAAGAGCTGCAACAGCTCTGGGCAGCAAATGGCGGCGCCAATTGCGCGCCCAGTGTCATGAAGCGAGCCGGCTTGCACCATCCTTACCATGTGCTTGGCCTTGGCAGCGACAAATGCCGCAGCGATGATAACAACAACAACAGGAACAGCAACAGCATTAGTTCAACCAAACTGCATCCCATGGGCTCCGATGGTCTGCCCCTGGACCCGCGCGATTGGACACGTGCCGATGTATGGAAATGGCTCATCAATATGGCCGTCTCAGAGGGTCTAGAGGTTACCGCCGAGCTGCCCCAAAAGTTTCCCATGAACGGCAAGGCATTATGCCTGATGAGTCTGGACATGTATCTGTGTCGGGTGCCCGTTGGGGGAAAAATGCTCTATCGTGATTTTCGAGTGCGTCTCGCCCGCGCCATGGCGCTGTTATCCTAGTGATTGGCGATCATCCTAGCGCCGATCTGTCCTCGAGTGAATTTATCTAGTGTAATTTATATATGCATAGGTTGTACATACTATATATAATGGCTGCATAACTGAACATTAGAAGTAACTAGTTCCTAGTGCTCCTTGACTTTAGTCTAGCTTTATGCATTTGTTTTCGATTAAGTATGATGCGAGCCCTTTGGGGTCTGACGCATTACAACTCTGTCCTATAGTCGATTAAGTCAATTGGATAAAAATATAAAATATAATTTTATAAAACTGAAAGTAAATTCTTTGAATTGTTGTACAAGTATGTTTCTTAATAGAAAGGTGAGTAGCTAATTAAAGTAATACAAGCAAGGGCGTACGCAATATGAAGTCGACCACACTCATATTTCGCTTTAAAATGGAACTGAGCTGGATTTGTTGAATTATTTAATCAACATTTTAATTTTGCCCTCCCACTTTGGAAAAAGCTGCTACTCTTTGAAGACCAAAAGCTATAACCAGAGAAAAAGCAATAACAGAAATTAAAAAAATAAGTATGTACTCATTTTCAAAGCCTTCTTCTGAAATAGTTGATATTTCTGGGTATACCATTTGCAAGTCTGAACGTATCTTAAGTTTCATGACTCCAAAGTATTTTACTAGATCCTTGGGTTCATGTAGGCGGAGAGATGAACAAACATAGCATACAGCTAAAAAATTGTTGTATGATCAATTAAATCGAATAAACTCAAGGCTATAATTGATTTCTTGTTAAGCTTCAAGCTTCATAGTGCTGCACTCTAGATCTGGGCATACCACGTAACGCACTGAAGTTAGCAGTTTTTATGCCGAATCTCAAATTAGCTTACAGCAGTCGAAATTGACATGGATATTCAGAAAGAAATAATACAAAATAATTAAGCTTTAATTGAGGTTTTAATAACACTAGTATACTGCCGACTTTTTGTTCATCCGCTTATTTATATGATTTTGCGAATACCGTTGTGTGATTACAATTACAACAATAGCCACAATTATGCAGCATCATCATGAGCTTGATCAGCGGCAATAAGAAAAAAAAAAACAAAAAAAAAACAAGAGAGTCTCATACGAGAATTCAAGCGCTTCATCCGCCCGTGCATCCGCTCGTTTCATTTTTCTATGAATGAAGAGCCACAACAACAACACCGCCGTCCCTTACTCTCTTTCCGTTGGTTGACGCGCTCATTGTCGCTCTTTACAGTACTGTTGTTGTTAGCAATGCCTGTAATTTTGGAACTTCTGTTTAGTGCAGTTGTACGTATGTACCATATGTATGTTTGTATAAATTGTTGGCTGTTTTTAATTCTTTTTAGTTGAGCATCCGGGATGTTGTTTGTGTAGCGATCAGCAATAACAGCCGCCAAAGGTAAAGGAAGTAAGACAAACGAGGCAAACAGTAACAGCAACATGTTATACCTTTTCAGTGCGTTGTAATATGAAACAGATGTCATCATCAGCAGCAGCATGAGCTAAGCACTGTTCCCCAACACTAGCCTTGCACATGCCACGTGCAAAGGTCAGGCCATGGGACATAACTGCATTTCAAGGGAAAACAGCTGACGCCTTCAGCTAAAGCAGAAGGATGCTCAGATGCGTAAATGTATGTTTGTATGTATGTCCATACATAGAAAGCAGTTGACCAGTTGGTAGTAAGCCAGCGGCCACATCATAGGGGTATTCCTGCAACTGGTTTTGATTATTAAATCAAATCGGTGCTTTTAAAGAAATCAACTGAAGTTGTTTTTCGACTGGAAAACTTTTCATTCCAACCACAACTTATTGAGCTGAAGATCTTTAGGGTAATCGTTCTCATGCCATTCTTGTTATAATAGTTATACTATATAGACGCTGAATTGGTAACAATTGGGCGCCTATAGGGTGTAAGTATTATGAGCTCTGCATACTAGTCTTTTATTGTATTTTAAGAAAATTTCCCGCTCTCAGCCAAATATCATTATTATTAATAAACAATTCAATATAGTAGTTATACAAGTAGGTCTTGCTTTATAAACCAAATAAAATCGGCACAGGAATTTTAGAATATAGTACATGTATGTATATAGAAATGGAAAAATTCTCCAACCTATCCAAAATGAGCAGTACCAGCTATGACTATTTAAGAAGGTAAATATCCTACCGATGCCGATACCATTCAGAAATGAAAGAGCAGCATCTATTTTTTCCCCACCTCAGCATTATACCAGTAAAGCTCTATCAGTCTGGCAGCAATATCTACATGACTTGCATTTCGAAACTACCCCGTACTACAAAAGATCCAAATTCGAATAATAAGAAGGCCATCGAAGACGCTTTCGTCCAGGCATTGGAAACAAACTTAAGTCCTGGTCCAGTGGCGCCCTCAGAACAGCAGCTTAAAGGTGACCAACCAGTACTGATACGCTCTGAGATTCGGTTTAAGCATCGCAAGGATCCAAATAAGAAGGAAAAGTCGGATTTGAATATTCTCAAGTCGCAAGTATTGCTCGAACAATATCAGCGACTTTACAATGACAAGCCCAAAGAAATGTCAACGCCATGCAAGCGCAATACCGTAGGACGCAAGGACCATGGCGGACATGGAAACGTATTCAGTAAGATTTCTCTTTGCGATGTTTAACAACAATTGATTGTCGTCTCCTATTCATAGAAAACATATTTTCCTTAATTCTGAGCGGCTTACTGCTACTAATCACTCTGTATGTGCTCATCGAAGTCGGCGATCGCAACTATTTCCTTTAGATACAAAGATGTATTTGTAGTTTCCAGCGTAAATTATTATTGTAAACCGTTTTCGACAAATCAAACAACTCAAATCAATTGTAAGCGAATGTGTCGAGCAAAACAAAATGCCAAATAAATACATCATAAATGCACCGGGAAATTGAGGAAATGCCGCTTATGTAAAGTAGAATATCCGCTGTAGCGACCCCAAACGAAACGTCGAAACGGAAGACGGGCTGCGAAAATACTTAATAAAGCAGACGGAAGTGAGAAATCCTCTCTAACACTCTGACCTGGCACTCGTTTTGATGGGTTTGCCAATTTGTCGAAATTTTGTTTATCCGCTCTCAAATTTTATTCAAACCCTTTCTTCCTCCGTTGATTTCAAAAAATAACAATATCGGGGAAATGACTAGACCAAAAAATAAGTGTGCGGCGTTTTATGCTGTGGTGGATTTTCTTGTTAATTAAGTTCAACGTCGCGACGTCACTTGAGTGATGAGGTCTGTGGCTTATTTAGAACATAGTTGGGACACATACACTCAGAAAAAAATCAAGTGATTGTGTTGAAATCAATACAAATAGGAACTGTGTCAAGATCTACTTTTTTTAAGTACAATTTTGTACATTTCGTAGATATTGAAATTGTAAGCTGATTTAATGTTGATCTATAGAAAAACAAATTACAAATTATTGACATAATATTAATGTAGGAATCATAAAGCACAAATGTCTGTGCTTTAAACTTTTTAATTATGTTGCTTTCCATTTAAAATGCACACCAATAACTATAAAACTTAAGGTATTGTATGTAAAAAAAAAATAGCTTTATATAATACTAGGTTTGAAGTTAATCAGATGAAAATTGTAGATTTTTCATACAAACGTTAGAGCCTGTTTTCCCCCCTTTGGAGCTCGAATTTTCCAAAATCAGCTTCTAGTTTTTACCGTTTGGGCTGTACGTTGATCACCAATCAGTAAGTCATGACAAACTGTTTTAAATATATATATAGAGATTAAGTGTCTGCCTACCGGAAAGTGACTCATATTTGTGCTTAAGTATTTAATTTAAACTTAATTGGCCAGCACTTTAGAAGTAATGAATAAATTTAGCCAATCTCTAACCGAAAATTCGATCAAAATAATTTATAAGTTAAATTAAATATTTCGTTTGCCTTCAATGGTTTGTATAAAAGGTTATTAAGGTTATAAAATATTTTTGCAATATTCCAAGAAAGTTCAGAAACGAAAAAGACTTTAAAATATTGAATACAAAATGAAATTATTTCAACGCCTAAATGTTAAGAGCAGTGATTAATTTAATTGATTATTGGGAAAAGTAATACATATTAATAATAATATTTATATCGATCGCTCAGATATGACACTAAGCCGCTTAACAAACACTTGGGAATTTAAGTCAGTTTTGGTCTAGATTTTAAATAAAGAAAGAAAAGTCAAGTATGAAATTGAACAGAATTTGTCGTTCTATTTTTGGCTGAGTGTACAAACAGTACAAACAGTATATACTCGTATATACTGGTATATACACAGTATATACCAAGTGCCATAGCACTGGATTGTGCAATTGAAGCACTTCATGGTAGCGGCGTATTTAATTAGTTCATTGGCAGGAACGGGTCGACGTTGGGCGCGATATTTCCCACGAACCCGCAGCGGGGTAAACAAACGGACGCAAATGAGTCAACAAATGTTTACATTCATACAGAAACATATCGAGTTGGATACGAAGGGTGTGGAGTGTGGAGTGCGGAGTACGGAGTCCCAGCTCCACAAACATCGCCACACACCATGTGATCGCCCGTTTCGAAATCGGGCTTAGGTTTGATCAGCTTCTTGGGTCAGTTGTGGTTGATTTGTTTGTGGGTTTGTTTGTTTACGCACAGCGCTAATGCAGTGGAGCCCCAGGAAATGCTAAACATGCTGAAGAATTAACATCCGAATTACCATTAAAGATGCTGGAACCAATCATTGACAATAAAACAGCAATATGGCTAGAAGATAAAAAAAAAAAAAAAAAAAACAGAGTCGTCACCAAACACCACACCCAACCAACTATTGATCGAATATTGTGCGTCAGTGCAACGGATGCAATAAACCATTTTAAGTCCCACTAAGGCGACGGTTTAATGCACGATTTAGACACGATTTTAGGTATGCCGGTGGCGATAAAGACAGCTCGTGCCGTTGCCGGGACGCATATCATTAGCATTGGCCCATTGATTCGGGCAATCGAATTCCAACACTGCAGACAAATGTCTGAAATAGACGATAAACATTGCCATGGCAATCGGATCTCGGGTCCCAGAGACCTACGATCTAGCCTCAGGCGGTCGCTCCCATTGCTAGAAAGTGGCCAAAAACTCAGCAAGCGGGCGAACATTCAAAATGAAAATTGATTACACATTTCATTTCGATTTTGATGACGGGACCACCCAATGCTTCTCAAACACCGTTCAATGTTCTATATTAAAAACTTCCGTTTGCATTAGACGCCAATAAAAATGTTCTATGGACAGACAGACAGACAGCAGATAGACAGCCAAACGCACATGAAAACTCAAGTGTATCTCTCACTCCCACGCTCGAAAATGCTGTTCCCATCGGAAAAGAGAAAACCGAAAAGCTAAAGTCTGAAATGCTCAAGAAAATGCGATGCAAAGACAAAGCGCATGAGTCGGAACTGTCACGGTTATATATATATGTATATATACATACATACATATGTATGTACATATGTGTATAGAAGAAGTTCATGGGAACAAAACTTTGTGAATGCTGAATGAAACCAAGTGTAAAGAACTTCTATTGTTCGCCTTACAAACCGGAGCAGTCGTGGGCGCATAAGTATTAAGGGCTCACACTCAGCAGTGCATTTTAAATACAACTCTTAAGCATTTGTATTCTACACATACACAAACACATACGCATACATTGTTAGCTATACAACATATGAGATGATTTAGTTTAAGAAGTCAGTGCGCCTGAAAGTTGTCTTAAGTGGACGTTTATGAGGGCTGGAACTTCGACACAGTCTGATTAACTAAACCAAATGCATTTCTTAGGTCTATGTCCACCTCCATGGCATAGTTAATGGCTTGTTTGAAAATTCCAAGCACCTTCATAATTAAGTGCAACAGATATCCAATACAAACAATCAACGATCATGCAAGTTTTAAATTTTTATGTAACGAATTATGCGAAGCTCATCGGAACTTCCGTCTGTCCGTTCCAATAGTATTGAGGCTATAAATCCAAAACTTTGAGCTTAACTTATTAGCTTTTAAAGCTACTTATATCAATTGTTCATTCCATTTTTTTGACAGAGCTACTTTTTTCTTTATCAATCAAAATATTATCTAGCCCCGCACACAAGCTAGTAGTATATATCTTTAAAACTACCTCATTCAGAGTTCTTATATCTTTCTTTAGCAGAAATCGGAAAAATAATTTCAAAATATTTAAATGGTCGAATATTGTAATTAATAATTTGCAAATTATAATTTAGAGCGCAAAAAAAAAACACCAGTTCTCTTTTACTTACATTACATTTCCTTCTACATTGATTCCTCAGCTTTGATTTGTTGAGCGTCTATAGAATCATGTGTTTCCTTCAAATAAAGTAATGCTATCTTACTACTTTCCGGTTTTCACCCAATTTTTCGCAGTCTATACATAATTTAAATCGGAATCATCTGATATTTTGGTTACGTTTAACCGAATAACATTTATATTGCTGGGGTTGTGAAAAGCTGTCTTCGCAGAAAAAGCGAAAATGTAATCTCTATACACCTTCTCTTCTAGACAACTAAACATACTCGTAGGTAGTAGCTGTCCAGTCGGTTAAACAAGTTAAAATGGTTGCTAGCAGATTACATGGGGGATTAATTTTCAAAAGAGCGACTCTTTTCTTCATAACAGACACACAAAGGGTATTCAGTTTTGATGAAGCCGGATATAATTTTTTAGATATTTTCAATTGTGGCGTTGAAATAAAAGAATGAAAGTTGTTACTTGTGTATTCATATCGCAAATGTGTGGGCTTTTACTCACTTTCAATTTTTTGTTGCCTGTTGCCTGGCACTTCGCATGTTTGTCACGCGGCATCGCCACCAGCCCCAGCCCCAGCGCCGGCCCCAGCACCAGCTCCGCAAGGAAACTAGACGCAACGACACCGACTCCGTCTGCGGACTGTCTGTGGCTGTGGCTGCGTCTGCGATGCTTCCGTTTCCTGCGCATAAATTTTAATGAGAGAGCAAAGAAACCAAAAGAAATTTGACGGCTGAAATTGTCAACGGCACAGTCAACAGGCCAAGGGCCAAATTAAGATGTTAAATGGAGTTGTCATCTTTTGAAACTATGTTTTTTGTAATGCTGAAATAGTTTAGTTGTTACTTTCCTGAGGAACGAACTGATCTTTCTATTAGATCCTTTGATGTAGAAAATTTTAAATTACTGAAATACGTAATCCCAATAATTCTAATCGCGGCCATTGGAAGCACAATATAACCTCAATAATCTAGATGTCCGAAATACTAAACATTACGGATTGTTGATAAGTTATTTTTTTGATCACTAAGTCATTAAATTTTTTCACTTAATAACAAAAAGTTAATGTTTTTTCTCTTATTCTATATACTCGTATATATTTAATGCTTATATAAATAATATACTATATATGTTATAAGTAGATAACGAATAAGAAAACCAGCAGTTCCCGAAATAAAGTGTTAAATAAAAAGAGTGTCCCGATTTATGTTGAGACAAAAATTAAGCACGGAGCCTAAATGAGAACAAATTGGATTTTCTTTCCAGATTGCACTTCAGCAAATTTATATGTGAGGGATCAGTGACAATTATAATAAGTTTGTTTTAACTATTTTATTTTAAGATCATGAGCCAAGCATTACCTTTTCCAAATAATAGCCCGTCTGCCTTGACTTTCAACAACGAAGTCACGGTTATGCATTGATTATACATATTATATGTACTATATACTTGTACTTGTACATTCATACAAACAAACATATGTGCAGTTTATATAGATACATATACAATTGTGGATATAAATTATCACAACCAGTTTGCAATTTGGCATTCGCACGCGATTGTTAGTCTGGCATTGGACTTACACACATGAAGTACGAAAAGAGAAACTTAAAGAAAAAGCAAAACGAAAAAGTCTTTTCCTTGCTTTCGATGAAAGACCAAAGATGTTTTTCCAGCATTTTCAATGCTCCACCGACTTGGAATACGACTACGACTGCGTGTTATGCCGAGCGTGGAAATCGGAAAAGGCAGCCAAGAATTCAAAAACTTTGGACGCGTGCGCGCGCTTCGCAGTGTCGAATAGTTTCACTTGATGATCGGACCACATGGCCACTCGGAGTTTGTAGTTGTATTGCAGACGGCCAAACAGACGGACGGAGGGACGGACGGACGGACGGACGGACGAAAGGCAAAAATTGCAATAAAACTAGTTTTTCAGGTTCAGCGCATGACAACGAAATAGCAACAGAAACTGTTGCAGTTGCTGTTTCTGTTTCTGGTGTTGATAACAACAATTGCGGCGGTGTCGCTAAAGTTGCGTGGCGCATGCGCAAAGCCCATTGCATAGTTGGACGCTTTCCAATTGGAACTGCAGACGAGGCGAAACATTTCTGGAATCTTAATTGTGCAGCTAGGAACGATGAAGTTGCAGGTGACTTCTAGTTGCTGGTTTTTGCGCTTTAGGTATAATAGCAATGCCCTGAGACAGACAAGGTACCACCTTTTGTCTGTCCATCTGTATCTGTCAGTCTCATTCTCTGTTACTGTAATTATGATATGTGTGTGTGTTCTTTTTTTTTTTTTGCCTCGTCTCACTCATTGCTTGCCACGCTGGCTAGACACAGGCACACAGTAGAGGCGGCAAAAAAAACATTACACGATGCTCGAATTATAAGTCGTCGACATTCTTGCAGTTTGTTCAAGATGAGCGCAAGAAAAATGAGACAGCATAAATAAACCAAGAAGCGAAATAGAATAAGTATTTGTACATACATAAGTATGTACATATGTATGCTGCTGGGTGTGTAATTGAAGTTGCACAAAGTCTTGGCAAAGCCAGTGAAGCTGCACGCTAACTGAATATCTCCAGCTACTTACAAGTATATGCTCTGCTCATGTTTCGGCCTCGCTAGCCATTTGAGTCGAGTTGTGTTTCCCAGAGGTTGCTGGCCTCTCCACTCACTGATATGCAACAGATATTTAAAGATATTCAAGGCCCAGCAATATGTAATAAGCCGGAAAAATAATACATTTTTTGAATATGAAGGGCACATGATTGCCTATCGGCGTTAAAACATAAATTTACCGAGAATTAACCCCTGTTGAAATTGCCGAAAAATCGTTCAATTATACGAACAAGGCCAAGCAATACAAGTAACAACAACAAGGAGACTAAAATTCAACGGTCATTTAGTGAAAAAAAAAAAAAACGATCGCACACAGCAATTGCTGCAAGAGTAATGGCCGTTTGACCTAAATAAGTGGCAGTAATAATTCAATAAGATTCCGGTATTGGGAAATGATACATATACAATAATTTGAGTTCTATATATACTATACGATTACATGCTGATTTTAAATTGTCGTGTTCACAAAAATGGATATATTCTCCAACTTAACACTTTTAAATATCTAGCGAAAGCCAAATAATATGGAAAATAATGATAAATATAAAAACACATATTCAAAATGTTCAAAAGTTGCTTTCTAGCACCGTCCTCCTTAATACAACGCATTCAAATTTTGGCGGGCGAATTGTGCTGTTGTTCAATACTGAACAAACTATTCGATATGTCGTGGGTTGGTCAATCGATTAGTACTACAGGTAAGTGCTGTAAAGCGACTGTAAAATAGTGTTAATATGAACAATTAGCCACATTAACCAGATGACGAATTGGTATATACATATATACGTAGATCAAATTTTCAACGCAATGCAAATAAACAACGGTCAATAAACGCAGCTGAAACCGTGAAAAATCGTATTCCAGAAACAAGTCATAAGTTTCTCCAGGCAAATGAATATCGAGCCATATTTGGAAACCTTCAACTCGACCCTACAATCCTTCGCCATACAGTTGGAGAATTTTGCTAGCGTTGCGTTGCAAGTGGCCGTAAACATAAAAAGCGAATTTGAGAGGATAACGGGGGACTGGCATAGTCCAATAGAGTTCACCGACCTACAGGCGACGCTACTAAAGCTGTTGTTATTGCTCTTACTTGGCACGGGAGTGCTCATTGCCTGTTCTTGGTCCGTTTACGGAGAAGTAATCACCGAGAAATTCGTCAGACCTAGTAATATAACAAAAGTTTTTTAAAAAAAACAACATGCTCCAAAATTAATAATTATGACACCCATTTCAGGCACGCTAAAGGAAATCGAGGAGCTTAAATTGTCTGTGGCGAAGTTAAAATTGCCAAAAGAACATTCTCCAAGAATATAGTTGCACCAAAATGTCAAAGATAAAGCGTTTTTTCTCAAAAAAGAAGGAGGAGGCTGCATTCAAAGTAAGTCAAATAGCCAGTCAAATAGCGCCTTAAGCACTCAATTTTTTTCGTTTCTTTCGCTTATGCAGTTAAAGTTAGGTGGCACCATGGGTGAGGGACGCAAGTTGAATGCACCGAAGCAGGAACAGCCGACTACTTCGCGCAGCAAGCACGAGGCATATGTGCCGCCCAAGCGAAACTCACTGAGCCAAGAGGCGCGCGCTGCTGCCAATGCTGCCTTAACTCGCATCGAAAAAAAGGACTCACGTGATTTCAATACCTCGCTGGCGGCAATTAAAGCACAGGCCAAACGAGAATTAGAAGCAGAACGTCGGCAGAAGGAGGAATTGGCTAGCTCTAGCTCGATTGCCACCTCAGCATTCAGCAACGCCTCTGCAGGTGACAATAAAAATCTAGCATGTCAGGGTGTTTTCTTCCGTTGCCCTCTGATTAGTGATGAAGTTTTGCCAAAGAAGGCGTGGAAGGCTAAGATCAAGGACTTCCTCTATCAGCAGCTGGAAGAAGACCGCGGCTTGACTGCCTGTTTGATAATACAAAACTGTAACGTCAAGGAAAAGGTAATACTAGCACTTTTAAATGAATTAGGGCAGTTTGTAAACGCATCTCTTTTATAGGCTGATGAATGCATTGCCACACTCATTAAGTACCTCGAGAACATCATTAAAAATCCTGATGAAGAAAAGTTCTGCAAAATACGCATGTCTAACAGAATATTCAGCGAAAAGGTACGTTATGTTGAAGGCGCTTTAGATGTGCTCTATGCAGCCGGCTTCAGCGAGGTGCAAATCGACAATGAACCGTTCCTGTTGTGGACACGTGATCAAATGGAAGCGGGACTTGATTTGAATACGCTAGTGGATGCATTGAAGAACTCTGAGCTCATACATTTAGAGTTGGATCGAAACATTAAAGTGCTGCTGCCATCTCAGGCACGTCGCGTGGTGTTGCCCGACGATTTTTATCGCATCTCACCGGAAGAAATTAAAAGAGAGCAACAGCTCCGAGCTGAAGCTATTGAAAGTTCGCAAATGTTGAAAACAAAAGCAATGCGAGAGCGCGAGGAGCAGCGTAACTTGCGCATGTACCGATATTCCCTGGTCCGCGTCAAGTTTCCTAATGGCCTGTTTATACAGGTGAATTATTGTACATCCACACCCAATGTGCTCTTTATGATTCCAATTATCTGAAATTTTAGGGTACTTTCAATGTGTACGAAAAGATCTCTGATATATTTGAATTTGTACAATCTTGCCTGGCTGATGAGTCGATAGACTTCAACCTGGTGGCTAGCAGTGAAGGAAAATTTTGCGAAGAAGACATGGAAAAGACTTTATACGAATGCAGGTACGTACGACTTCTTTTTGAAAATGCTCATCCCGCAGTGCTGATCTACTGTTTTTTTTATGACAGACTCATTCCAAATGTTTTACTTCTATTTACCATACCTGGGGTACCGGCTCAAGTTTCGGCGGACCTTAATTATCTGAAGGAGGACCTCCTCATGCTAGTGCAGTCAATGTAGGCGTCGTTAATTTACTTGCAAAGGAGTGTCCATAAAATAAGAAACTTGGGTGACGTTTTCCTTGAAATATTCCTTTAAGTTACAAAGATGTTGTTATTATTTATTATATTTAAATCAAATGTAAGCACATGTTTTGAATTAAATTTATACATACACAATAAAAAACACACTTTCAAATGACCTACTGAAATGTTGAACATAAGAAGAGAGTCAACGAATTAAATGTAATGTTATTTATTTAAACAAACACTTTTTAAACCAATCTCACGAACTAAAAGATATCGGACCATATCGACAATTGGAATAGCAATGAATCATTGTCATCACTAAAATTTATAACTAGATGGCATCTCAGGAAGTGCTGCCAGCCTTTTACAAAAAGTACAACACCCTCGCGTCTTTGACAACAGTGTGCAACTAAAATGTGCAACTAAACTTTTGTGATATTAACATAAACAAATTAATCGAATTATATATGTACATAAGACACTGCTTCGCAAGAAACATATACGAATTTACTAGTGTTATGAAAAATTACTTATTAGCAGTTACAAGTGAGTACGCAATAAACAAAAACATACATATGATGATATTGCGGATGTTGTGTTTTGTCAAAACAACAACATTTTGCTGCACACAGAATATTTGATTCGTGCCGGTTGCGTTGCAACAAATATACTCATACAAATATGCATATTTATGCACATAACTACAATTTCGAGGGAATAGTCATCTCTTGTGGAATGAGATAGTGAGCCTTAGATGTGTTGTCATTTCTTTACTGGTCGCGTGCAGCGGGCGCTTCTAAGCTTGTTAGTGTTCGGTCAGAACTCATCATTATCGAATTAGACCATGCAGTCTATAACTTTTAATAAGCTGTTAATTAGCGAAGGATTCATCCCTCCTCGTTCAGTTGCCTATCATGGGCACGAACTGTTGATATTGACAAACCCTTATTAGTGGCACATTTCGATAGTGGCCGAACAGAGGCATTGGCGAAGTCAGTGGCGGCATGAGGGCTCTTAGCTACTATATAGCGCAGAGCAGAGCAGCTAAACTAGTTTATTAATGCCACAATAGCAACAGCAACAATGATACAGAAACTTGAACTCAAAGCCAAAATCAAACATCTCACTGCAAACAAACGTTTAGATTCAACGAACAATTTCTGTGCAGGACAGGACTGGCGTATTGTCTATCGGCAGCGCGCAATCAGCAGAACGGTAAACACGGCTAGAGCGCACCATTAAATTACACAAGAGCAAAAGCAATTTCGCGTAAATCTGGCCGAGAACCAAAATCTCAACCTAAAGACAGAGCCAAACTGATCTTGGGAAAAGTCAATAGACAAGAAAAGAGAAAAGGAAATTTAATGAATCTTGCCGGAAGGTTAGTGGGCAGTGGAGCCACGACGCTTAAATTAAACAAACCGACAAATCCTCCACCAACCGGCGAGCCAAATGGAAGGCAAGCTCGAAGGCGGCTCGACACGCAGGTCGGCACAGCTATCGCATAAATTGGTGCTCTCCGTCTGGTCAGTGCCAGAGTCGGAGTCAGACGTTTTCTCAATGCTATGTGCCTCATTGTTTCCGATACTTATTATGGCCTGGGATATAGGCCTTTATTAAACGATCGAACGATGGCGAACCAAGCTCCACTGAGTGCGTGAGATATGCATTATTTATCTAACGAAATTTTTCTCATTTCTGCAATTTTTAAGCTGGAGATTGCAGATGCAATCGCTTCCTGGTTGGGAGCACGCTTACTGCGGCTGTACAGTAAAAATATCCGCAGCGTGCTGAAATGTTTAGATAGCGTTTAAAGCTTGTTGTGTAAACGAAATTCTTGCTAGAAACGCGTCGCTGTTGAATACGCAGGCAATGCATGGGGGAACGAAGATAGAGCGAGAAGACTTGGGGCAAGTTTGGTAAATCCTTAACCTCTGCGCCCGCGCACGTGTCCGCTTATTGCGACCCTTGGCCAGCAGTAGGCCAACTGTAATTCAACGTTGATTGAACGATTGAAAAATCATCGGCTTTGGGATTCAAAGATGATGATGAAGAAGATGAGGTGTAAATTGTTGATGCCATGAAATTGCAAATCAACTGCCCTCCAAACGACTGCGCCTGCGCACATTTCATTCAAAATTGTTTGCTCAACCCGTAAGGTGGCGACGGCAACAAAATCAGCAGCAACAGCAGCAGCCACAAAACCTTTGTAAAATTGCAAATCGAATTTGGGATTTGCTGTATTCTGAGTTTCTGATTTGTTTTTGTGGTGAACCACACACAAGCCAATCACAACAAAAAGTGCATAACAGCTCAAAAAAAAGAAGAACTTTGGAAGCAATTTTGAAAGGGCGCCTCTTGAGAACCGCTTTGATTAACTACAGTATACTCCTGTTAATGGAAACCAAGCTGGCTAAGAAACAATAATTCTAGTTCGAATATGTGTATGCAATGAAGATCATGTTGACTAATTGGAAAAGGTTTACCTATAAGAGAAATACTTGTATATCCTACCATGCCAAAAACTACAAACCATTTCAAACATTACTAGCGACTGCACAATCACTTTCCTGTGCAAACAAGATTCCTCCAGTATTAGTTTTGGTTACTGAAGCAATGTTTTAGCTATATACCTTCATATTACAACTAAATCATAACCTTGAATTTCAAAGAAAGTGTATTTAATATGAATCAATATTTATTTAGATACGTGGTGCCTTGCTTTGATAATTTAAGGGAGAAATTGAAAACCCCTTCACTATATTCTTGTAACGGATTAATGTGTTGCCTAACTTTAGAAATAAATATAGGATGGTTTAAAATTTGTTCTTAATCTAAATTTTAAAGAGAAATGGCAGTCGTAACGACAGAATAATTATAAATTACAAATTGGTGTCCAACATAATTGATAATAAAAGATTCTTCTTGTAGAACATAATTTAAAATTATAAAAAAATATTTGTTAAGAAATTTCAATCAGATAGATTTTCTTTGAAAAATCGGAAAATCGAAAATTCGAATCAGGTTTTTTCCGATTGGTTTACTTGGTTTGGTTAAAAACAAATGGCGTTAAAATATCATATTGGATAATTTAATCGTCTAATTCTATCGATAGTTGCTTCACCATTGGTGCCATTGATTGTTTTGTAGATCTTCTGGAAACATCTAAGCATCAACTAAGTTCAACATCCTAAAAATATATAAATACGTACTTCAAAAAATTAAAAAAAATTACCAACTACTAACTGTACGTAACCAGCTTTTAATCAAAACCTAAGCTAAAAATGTTAAATACAAAACAATAAAGCCTAAAATAATGTCTTGAAGACTTCTGACAAAAGATCAAAATTTGAAAGAATTGCATTTTTCTTAATGGATCAACCTCATTTGGCTATACTGTAACGATATTCTTATGACCCAAAGCAGCGCCGCCAGTTACCGACTTGCCAGTTGCCGTTTCCCATTGCCAGTTCACAGTTTATGTATGTTTATGGGTTTCCCCTGACATTTTGGACCTTTGCTCAAAATTGAAATTTTTGTAATGGGCGGCTGTTGTCGGTTGTTGTTTGCGTCGAACCGATCAATTGTGTGTAAGTCCTGCATAGCCTATTTGCATATTTGGTTCGAGTTTGAGCTCCGGCCGAGCAAAAAACAAACTAATTCAGTTTTGATGACACGCCGAGAGCTGTAACTTCGACTTCTGATCTAGCTGCGAACGGAAATGATTGAAATAATCAGGCAAGTAGCTGCTGGCTGCCTTAATTAACACTTGAACTTGATGATGCATAAGAAAACAGAAACGACAATTTGCAATCAAATGGGAACTTCCGGCCAGTGTGTTCCATTAAATGGGATACATATTTATTTATGTATGTGTACGAGTATGTATTTTATGAATGAATCTTGAGTCAATGTCTGTGGCACCCCCACCGCCCACCGCCCACCGCCGCTGAACTCGTCGCACACGCCACTCACAACGCTTCATCATTTGCGCCAATTAGCGGAATCAAGCGAAGCAAGTGGAGCGACCGACCATCTTCTATCTCTTCAGTCCCCACAGTGAGTTTTGTGGAAATCTTGCACAGTTCACAACTTGATAAGATTAATTGATGACACCCCGGCGGGGTGGCGGGATGGCGGGATGGCGACGTTGCAGTACCGGAGTGCCTCAATGGGTTGCCATTCTTGATAAACCTCCAGTCGATTTCAAATAAATTTGTAATTTGTCATATTTGGTAACGGCAGCTAAAGGTAAATTAATTTCTCTATCGATTTGATCACTTGTGTTTTGCCATTTTGCATGTGCATACACACACACGCACATACATATGTATATATGTAGATATACCCATACATATATGTACATACGCACACCACCAACAGAACGTACTCGAATGGCTTAGACTATGGATTGCAGAGGCAGAGTCCAGTCGGCGGGCTGCCTATTGTAAATGTGCTTTAATGACCACTGGTCAGCAAATCTCATTTTTTGTCGTCATCGTCGTTGAGGTTGTCGTTGTCGTGCGGCTGCCGTCGCGCCGTAGACTTGGCTCTCTGTATGTATGCCTGGACCGCATGCTGTCCGTAACATAAGACATATGTACACACTCACACACACACACACACACACAGAGACACATACATTCATTGTCCATGTTGGGCGCGCGCGTTGCCAAATACCTTTGCTTCGGTCTCGGAAAAATAATGACCAGTGTCCACATGGTGCAAAAGTAGACTTTTTTTTTGCATTTTCAACACCAAAAGTTTACATTTAGATTTTCCAACTTAGTGCCAACTTTGCCGTCATTTGAAAAATGACATTACAAATTGTGGACATTTGTCTAATTATATCCTGCTCCAATAACGAGAGCTCAGATTACATCCAAGCGATGTGTAATGGCTTTGTTTGGATAAACGGCTTGCAATTTGTTTAAGTGCCCAAATCTGCATAACTTTAACATGGAAAATTCATCAATTTGTCTAAGGCATGGGATTACTTATAATGAAGAAGCCCAGATAGCAAGTCTTGAATATTCATTTAACGTAGCAGGTTATCAAATCTTAAACATAAGTTGTGCACAAATGTGTTGACACAAAAATGTATGGAAATAATATGGTATTTGTTATTACTTTATTAGAATTTTCGAATACTTTATAGATTTTTCTTTGTAATGTTTGTTTGTTTCAACACCAAAAATTGCTAAACTTTAAAGTTAAACTGAAAATATGTTTTTGATTTTACTGCAGGTCTCAATAACAATATAAATATGTATATAAATTGTTTTAACCCATTTCCCAGATAAAGTTTCCTACAAGTCAATGGAAAATACTATAATTGTATTTGTTATTTTTATATAATTTTTTATACAATTTTTAATTTCATTAATGTAAAAATATATAATGAGTGTTGAATTTTTAAATAATAAATAATGTGAAAATATTTAATGAGTGGTTCTCTAAAACATGTTCATGCTTTTATCAAAACAGAAAATCTGACGACTTCTTTCTATCACTATTATTATAATACATGGTAACCAATCTTCATTGCAATTCCTGTATTCCCAGGTAAAGTCAGTAATCAATAATCGAAATTACCAATAATGACTTTATAAAATTATAAAAGGTTTAAATTAAATAGAAGTTTATTTAAGGTTGAAATTGAAAACACATATCTATAAACAAGGTTCTGAAAATATGGTATTTAAATGCATTTTTAATATTATTTGATTATATATGTCCAGAGAAAGAACCAGTCCTGATCTAATTAAACTTAGTACAGAAGTATAGCGACGGAAGATATACATATACTATAATTCCAAGTCGAACTGCTTCTGCATTCTCAAACTGATTTTGTGTGTATCTTCTTATTGTTCATTTGATAAGATTCAGATAAAAACATTATTAGCCAGACATAGCATAGAGAACGTAATGTTATACTATATTATATTCAAAACAGAATAATAGGTCAGGATACACGTGTGTAATTTAAACAATATACATAAGTGTGATTTGGAATTTCAAAGGCTGATACAAAATAATATGCATGTGATATGCTGAAAATGTATAGCAGCCTAGCTGTAACAAGATTTTTCGAGCCTAGAGTAACCTGTATACCTAGGTTGGTAAACCTAGCTTTAATTCATTCCGAGGGATCTGCTACTCAATGCTGGTATCGCAATAAATTAGGATAATACGTTCATATATTTTTAGGAATACTGTGTTATTCGTGCATTACTTAAAACAGAAGGATTTAATAATACGCATTTTTCTTTAAATAGCAAAATAGCAACCAAAATAGAAATTATTTAAAAATACTGAAGTAGCTACTTCTGGCTCTCCCTTTCACCGTACATATGTATGCAAAAGTATCTACATAAATATATATATGTATGTAAGATGTTAACTGCTGACCAATTAGAAGCCAAAGGGTGGTCAGCTATGCTCACACACATATAAATACATATGTATGTACATAATAGAGTGACCGCAAACAGAATGCAGGCGCACCGACACCACTACTGCTAGCAACAAGGGCCGACAGTGCACCAGCATCTAATAAAACTTTAAAAATTAAAAAAGAAAATCTTACAGTCGAGCATGTCCGACAGTGAAATACTCTGAAATACTCAAAATATTTAAAGAAACGCTCTATTATACATATATGCACATTAATGTTAAAGAAACTAAGGGAACATGTTTCCAGCCAGGATCTTCAGCTAACAAGATATCTACATGAATAACTATAATTCTGTTGTACAAATTTGATTGTTTTTAGTAACCGTATAGTTCCTATTTTGATATCTAAAGTAAGATTAAAGGCTGATATGGTTCTGAGTTGGCTGAGAAAATGGATATGTGGTGGAAATGGATACGCAGTACGTGAGAATATAATGTATTCATTTGTATAGTTTTAAAGTTGAAGATCATAATATTTAGATTAAAATTAAAACTCGCCTTGCCTAGCTTTGAATTATAGTAGATATAGTTACATCGAATTGTCTCATCATGCTTATCAAGAATATGCATATTCCTTATGGGGTTGAAAATAATTCTTTTTGTCTGTTCCACAAACCTTATATGTATACACTCTTCGGCTACAGCGTACACATGAATGTATGTATGAATGTAAGAAGAAATATAAACCCCAAGGGAATAACCTACAGTAACACCAACAACAATGCTGCAGCCGCTGATGCTCTTTTTTACAGTACAGCAGCATTAGGAACAGCGATTAACTCGAGTTGAGGGCTGCTATCAGTAGATTTTCACTCACTGTTACAAGCAACACACTCACTCAACAACTGATAAGACCACGTGTTGCTCCATGCGCCGTCTCTTTCGTGCTAAGCGCTGTAGGCCCCACAACACCACTGCAACATTAACAATATTCGTATAAGTAATCCTATTCAACAAATGTTCGCAAGAGAAAAACGATGTTGCCAGAATGCTGTGCCGTGCATTATTTGCAGGCACAGACAAAAACGATGACAACGTCGATGCAGTGTTCGTTCGATGTGGCAACGATGGGGCAGCGGTCCAATTAGGTGGCCGGCAGCAAGCATGCGCTCTCTTTCTACTGCCCACTTGGCAAGCCAACTTAACGGCGCAAGCGGCGCTGCTCTTTTATTCGCCAGAAGCAGAAGCAGACGCCACTGCTGCTACTCGACTCATTCCATGGTGTGCGCAGCAATCGTCGTGCGCCACTCAGTTTCAGTCTTCAGTCCGGTTTTTGAAGCTAACGTTGAGCGCGTCTCGGTCTCGCGGATTATAGTCCAGAGTCTATGTCGTTGTCATCGGCGTAGCCTTCTAAAATTTGCTTGTGCGCTTTGTTGTTGCTTGACAAATTCGTTTCCTCGTAAATATTTGTGTGGTGCATGCAAAAATTAAATAGCCGCAAGCAAAGGCACCGACGGCTCAGTGAATTTTTACTCTGTTGCAAGTCCGACTTAAGTCTGCAACTTAAACATAATAGAACAACAAAAAACTATCCGTTAAAGATTCCCATGCTGCATGGATGAGTGCTGGTCCCATACTCTCTATCGATAATCAGTTCGTTGCTGTCTTTAAAAAGTAAGTTTCCAAAAATAATTTCTGTTTTGAATTCCCATTTTCTGATCTGATTTCGGCTTATCGGCTCGACTGAAGATCGTAGAATTTATGCGGGCTTGCTAAGAATTTCATTTTTATGATAAGCGTGGCGGAGAAGCTGAGATTATTCAGTAATACAAACATACTCGTACATAGTACATACATATGTATAAATACATACTACACTGGTCGGCACAATTATTTTGACGAGAAGAAAATCATACATTTTTGTCAATAACTGGTTATTGGTTTAAGATATCAAAGGAAATTTTTTTTCTCAATTCCATATTGGTATTACAAACTTAAAAATAATTCAAAGGATATATTTTTATAAGGACTTTTAAAATTATAAATCAAGGTAATTTTCATGGGTTGGCATAAGTATTTTGACAATGGATATTAACAAAAAAAACAAAGCTTAATACTAAACAAAACATAAGAAATTGATGGTAGATTAATAAAATGTATACCCGCCTTTGGCTTCGATAACTTTTTGAAGACGTCTTGGAACTGAGTCCACTAAATTTTGAAGGACCTCTAATGGTATCTCTTTCCAAAGAGAAGTGACCTCGGAAATAGTTTCTTCTTCGGTTTTATGCAAAGACGCATTTCTTTTACGTTTTACAAGAGACCACACATTCTCAATAACGTTTAAGTCCGGACTTTGTGGTGGCCAATCCAGAGTAGTAACACCAACATCGGTTAAAAATGCTCTTATCATTTTGCTTTTGTGGCATGGGGCGTTATCCTGTTGCAGGATAAATGATTCTCCAATCAGCCTGTCACCGGAAGGGAATGCGTTTTCGTTAAGGGTACTCAAATATTGTTGCTGGTTCATTGAGCCGGTGATGGGAACGAAATCACCTAACCCATTGTACGCAATGCATCCCCAGAACATGACTGAGCCTCCGCCATGGCTCACTTTTTGACATACGGGGATATTTTTTTGTCTTTGAAACTGTGGGAGCCTTACAAAAATCTTTGTTTTTGATGAATTGTATTCAAAGGAGCTTTCATCTGTCCATAGAACGCTTCTCCAAAACTCTTTTGGCTTATGCAGATGCTCCTTTGCAAAAGCCAATCTTTTGAGCTTGTTCACCTTTGATATGTAAGGTATGTCCTTCGCTTTGTATGTCTTAAAATCTACTTCTTTTAGGCGTCGCCGAACAGTACGCTCACTGATTGGAGTCTTGGTCGACTTATTCCATTGATCTGCAGCAGCTTGCGGCTTTAAATGAATATTTTTTTTAAATTCCCGCAATAGGACTCGATCTTCAATGGGTGTTGTTTTGCGGTTAGCACCTGATCTAGGCAAGTTTTTGACGTGATTGTGGGTCTTATATTTGTTAATTTGATAGTGGACTGTTTGCCGCGACAAATTATATTCATTTGCAATGTCTTTTGGTGCTACGCCGGCATTAAACTTCGCCACTATTGAGGCTCTAACAACATAACTTAATTCTGTCTTTTTTACCATTGTATCGATTACTTTTGAATCAAATTTTAATGAAAATAATGTAAAAAGGTCAACAAAAATTGTTACACCAAAGTTATTTTAGTATCACTTGATAAAACGTACGCGAAAACGGCGACAAAGATTTGGTCAAAATACTTATGCCGTGCCTGAATCCGCAGTCAACTCACATTGTCATTTGTAGAAAGAAGGTGTGAAGAGTAATAGGCAAAATATTTTGCCTACATATTGTTGTTGCTATGAACTCTATATCCCGTATGAAAATTGTACCGTTATTCCTTGAAACTAAAAGCAACCAGCACCGATAGTCGTGAGTACAGTTCGTCAAAATAATTGTGCCGACCAGTGTACATAAAATGTTCAGAAATAATTATTATAAATATGTGCATACGTACACTTGTATATTTATGTGATTGTGCGTTATTGTTTATAAGTAGGCTCCTCGGCTCAATAGCTTATTCCAAAGATATGTACACATGCTATACATACATACATATGTATGTACATATGCACATTAAAAATCAAACATGTGTATATTTAGGTGTTTTCCCATTTGCGATTGCCGAAATCTATTTGACTTTGTTTTCCAATTTACTATATACCGAAAAAAAGGATTATTGCGTAAATGCGAACTGGACTGTCATTTATATTTATTTATTCACAATCTCTTGAGCTAAAATTAGAAGATGTTTATGGTATTTGAGGCATAGCTATTAAAAACGAAAATTGATAACAATACATGCCTTTTAAAATGATAGTTTTCTTTTTCTTCGCACGACTTATATACGCTTGCAGAAAAAGCGGAATTTATTTGAGAGATCGCAGAATTAATAATTTTTGTGCAACAGACATCCGCTATACAACGAAGTCATGTCCAAGTGATTAAATTAATTAATGACATAGATACTGTGCAATAATGTCCACGCACAAGCTGTCCTGCTCATGGAGCGCGCCGCATGATGCATGCCGCATAGGTCCTATGTGGAGGATGGTGGAGGCTCCACAAGCTGAGTGCATAGATTGTTGTCTTTAACTTGTTGTACACGATGTCTTATACGTGTAACAACAATTTATTTCGTTGAGTTGAGTTGAAATCAATGATCATGATCTCCCTGTCTGGCTGGCAGCGATCCGCGCCTATAGTCCATGACTATCCTCGGTGATTAATCAAGCGCTGAACGATAGCAGTGTCGAAACAGCTTTGTAATACAAGCAATGACCAATATTATCTAGATATTAAGTATTACATATTTATACACATTTTTTCCACGTATAGACGATAAAGGTATTCGGCCTTCTTTCGACACAATTTCTTGCTCAGCTTTGTACATATACGGGTACACGTATGTTACATATAATAAGTACTATTAGTGAGGAAAGCTATCAATTGTATAATTATTAAAATGTTTGAAAAATTGCATTTTTTATTAGTAATTTAATTATTTCATTTTTTAGCATTTGTTTGTTTTTGAGCTTATCAGCATAGAAATTTTGCAATTTTTTTTTTTTTTTGTCATTTCTACTTAGAATACGTAAAATACGTACCTTTTTATATAAATACACATATACTTGTACATGCCTCAGCTATAAAATAGTCAGTATGTACTTATAACGATAGAAGCTACATGGAATGTTCCATACAGAAGATGGGGTATAGTGGAATTTATTTGGATTTAGTTGTATAAAATGCAATTGCTGTTCTCTCGAAAGTTATAGTATATTTTGTGAAGAATTAAGCTTCCTAACAATATTTTATGATTATATGATTTAAAATTGTCAATCCTATTACATTACATCCTACTCCTAAAGATGTAAAGGCTTATATTATTTTCCGTGTCTAATATTGTATCTATGCCATATACGAGTTATAGAAACGATATGAATTTGATTTAAAATATATTTTTTTATCAAACACAAGCTCTTTTTCAGAGATATGGAAACCACAATGCATGTTGAGTATGTTGTAGTGAAATCTGATCGTTTTTCATCACTCGTGGGTCCTGATGATCGCTAGGATAGTAGGAAAACAATAGATTATATGGTATGGCAATGGAGGAGTAAATATTAGTTTTAGTTTTAATTTTCTGATAAATTGTTTAAAGTGTCTAGCAAACTTTATTATAGCAAATATTGGGACAGTAAAAATTTTCATTACACTCCAACTACAATTCCTACTTATTCTGTGAATCTCCGAACAGTGGAAAATGCTAGTAACTTATTGCCAAATCGAGTTGGGTGTGTTTTCAATATGGAAACCCATTATTTGGCACTTTTGGGTTGGTTTTGTTTGCAATATGGAAACCCATTATTTGGCACTTTTGAGGATTTATATTTGAAAGATCACCTTATTCTATTTTTCGCAAGTGAAGTCTATTTTAAAATTGGCTCAGTTTGCATTTGGTTGCTAATAAATTGAACACCTTAATGAAATTCTGAAAGTGAGGAGAATACGAGTATCGCATTGGCTTCGCACTTGGATTGTGGCTTTGTTGCGAGGATTTTTATGACGCACGTAATTAGTTTTTAGTTTTAAGTTTCTTTTCGTTAAAGTCTCTTTTGAAGGCGTTTTATGATCCGCAAGCTGTGGGCACAGACACCCATTTGTGTACAAGATTAGTTTCACTGGCCCTCCAGCATCCAAACAGTTGAGGACAGACTTTTTTGTTTTCTCGGCTTCAACAGAGCTTCGTAAATGCCATTAAAACATGAGTAACTGTTTTTCCAACTATTATCTGTGTCCAAAGTGCTAATTGGAGCATCTTTGTAGCATTTTCTCCACATCTAAGCTTTATAACCAAACGCAAGTAGTACTCGCTGTGCAGGTCAAGAGTCAAAGTTCTTTGCCTCTGCCTGCTTTGTTTATTATACTTACATAGTCTTATTTTTGCGCCAACTCTAGGATGGGGCAACAACGCAGCACCACCACAACCAGCAGCAACAGCAGCAGCAGCAGCAGCATTTGGCTCACCTGAGCTCACTCGTGAGCTGACTTGGACTCTGACTGACGACAAGTGCCTACACCTCTTTCGAGTAAACTGTCAAAGTGAGCATTGTTTGTCCATGTTTACAGTCTTCGATGTCGTATTAATTAAACTAACTGTCAACCCCAAGCCAAAGAAGGCACACCACATCCACACACATCCACACTCTCACCCACTCCTTCTACTACATATCAATTCGTACTTTTCCATCGAAAATATGTCTTCGATTAAATTGGTCAGTGTAACCTAAGGGCAGTGACTTGTCCTTACCCAAATGTGTGTGTGTGTGTGTGAGTACATGTTTGAGTGTGTGTTTTGCCCTTTCAGTCCAAATATTATTCAGTTGTGTGGATTCGATTCGTCTTGTTGTAAATTGGCAGAGAAAGCAACATAATACGAAATTTTATTCGAGAAAAACCGAACATTGACATTCGCATATGTAGATTGAGAATAAATTCGGTAGTATGTTTGTGTCAATCTTGGGGGAGGAACCATTACAGATCAGAAATACACAGAAATATTAAGTC